ATAAAACCAAGACCGCCATCGCAATAGTTGTCTGAGCTTGTATGATACTTTGAACACGTGTTTGTAAAAATAGATGAATCAGACTCAAAAAAATAACCTAGTAAATATACGTCACTTTGTCGATCTTTCAAAAGTTTGACACCACGTTTCGAACTGATCACTCGCAATGCGGTTTATTAATTTGAATCTGTTTTTGAGTTTGTGTTCCATTTTTTTATTACAAAGAACATCCGATGCATTTAAAAATGAAATGCTTAGAACCTGCTATTACTGCAATAAAACATGCGATAATCCGACCACAGAAGAGTGCCCAAAAGTTATTCGTATATGTTACTGGATGACTGCAGGTAGGAAAGGTTTTAATAATTTTTTAATGTATTGTGTGCATTCATAAAAAATAAACACATTATTACATGCATTTTTTTAGACGATGACTCAGAATGGCGAGGTTGTCTTCAGGAAGGTGTCGACTGTAAAATCCTTGTGAAACAATATAATACCACTTATTGTAGTGTGTGTTCTTCAAATTACTGCAATTCGATTAGTCGTCTTGACATCTCAGTTTTAATACTAAAACTGCCGTTCCTTGTTGTCTTGTTTAAATGAGTGTACAATAACTTAATACATTTTTTTATTATTTTTTTTTTCGAATTAATTTAATAAGATTACCTAAAACAGTAAAAATTAAATAGGGATACAACCCCATTTGTTATTAAAAGACAGCAAGTTGCTTTTTTAATTAGATCTAATTGCCACAAGGTATAGTATAGTCAGCATGTTCTATTAATAAATATCAAAAATATCATCCTTTACAAAATATAACAGAAGTAGCAGAAGACTGGCACCTCAAGATGGTTTAATAACGTTCGACCGTAGATTACACCATATGACACCTCTTGAATATATACGTACCTAATAGTATATTATTGTGCAACAAGTTTTGAAAAAGACTCTTCACACGAGTTTGCGTACCGATAGCCAAAGTGGATTTTTTTCTACACTTAAATGATAAAAATAATTGACTTATTAATGTCAATTTCAATAATATTTCAATGAAAACTATCGAAATACAGGGTTTTTATAAATGATTCTAAGGGCGTAGTTGGCCATGGATTTCAAAAAATCCGCTTCGCTGAAATTATGCCCGTGAGTATGCGTCATTATGACAGTTCTCATTTGTCACATTAATGTCTAATGTCATTTGTAACCTGTCATTTAAAGTCGTCGTTTTTATTGTTTTAATGTTTTTCAAGTGCGAATTACAATCATTCTCGTTGATCCAAGCTCAAAACAGCAAAACAGTCATTTTCAGAACTCTTGGTGGTTGCGTACGAAAATTTTGTTTTTCTGCCAGGAAGCGAAGACTGTGAAAATGGTTTATTCTGTTGAACAAGACACTTTCATTGTTACGTCTTGTTATCGCAATGGGACTTTGTAAACAAACAGTGTGTGTATTCTGTAACCGCTTGCAAGCAAGAATATCTGGCCAAATACCGTGATTTAATAGTTCAAGAAACATCGTTAAAGGCCGACATTAGAGATTTAATCAACAGATTTGTGCGAACTAGCAGTATCAACAAAGAGAAATCTCGTGGAAAACTTCATCTGAGGAAATTGTTGATGATTTGAGGCGACTTGAGCAGAATTGAACAATTAAACAACGGGTCCAAAGTATTGACGAAAGGATGTTACAGAATATTTTTGAAATTAAAAAGGGTCGAACAGGTGCCTTGAACAGAATGATGAACATTCTCAACATGTACTGTGATATTTAACCGCAATAAATTTGTTTCTTTTTATCGTAATGAATTAGTGTTATTTTTTAAAAACATATGAAGCGTTTAGCCAACCAGTTATACACATGTGTGTGATCTTTGTCATGCGTCCTTGGGCTCTTAGTACGGATCTCCGTACAGTTAAATCTGAGAGGCGGCATGTTTACATGACCTACTGCGACCATATAATGATTTATAGAAGCCCTGTATAAACAAAACAACGTTGCCTGCGTGTGGAAAAGTTCTGGTAGTTTGATATTGGCGATTGCGTCCGTATTAGGTGGGAGAAATTTCAGTTGGTAACTAAAAAAAGCACTGTTATCACAATTCTCAGTAGTGAATCGAAGCGAAACAACTGATGATTTCGTCTTGAATAAAGCCATAACACTCGAATGTAACAATATTTTATCCAAACCTCTGTAAATTTTAATTAAACTTTTAAAATAATAATATGTACCTACTCGTAATAGAAAAAAGTTCGAAAATGACAAATTTATTAGTAAACCATGTTTGCTTTCTTAAGGAAACAATATATAAATAAATAACATTTTTATCAAAAATTGTGCAAAATTCGTTATTACTTTAAATAATGGAGAAGAAAGTCGTTGAAAATCTAGTCCATTATGGATAAAGCGGCTATCACTTCTCTAAAACGGTTACCAGCGAAATCTCTGAACTGTACGAAAAGAAGCTCAAGCAATGTGAAGAATGGTGTAGTTAACGTGGGGTCGTGGAAATTAACGCAGATGTTTTGATGGCTTATTTTCTCAAACTAAAGAAATGTCTTGTTTCTTCATCATTGTGGACGAAATACTCGATGCTGCACTCTACGTAAAGTGTTTATGAAAGTATTGATACCTCCAAATATGACCAACTGTTAAGTTTCCTTAAAAGTACCTCCAGACAACACAAGTCATACAAGACGAGGATTCTTGAATGAAACTACATATATTGCTGATTTTTTGAAAAATGCTCCAGATGAGCGTTTCCTTTTTGCCAAGGTATGCTAACTGTATTGCTTACTTGAACAAAGGTGTTTCATGCATTTCTTTAGATTGTGCTTTTGATTGGAATTCCCGGAACCTGTTGCTGTTGTGAGTAGGTCAGTTTTACGCTGCTTCCAGATGAAAGTCCAGTAAATCCGTTGCAATTGTATCCACAGTATGTTGCATTGCGACACCTTCACGTACCCCATCGCCGATTTTTTATAAAATATTATCGTAACAAAAAATGCACCGCTCAGCCAGTGGAAATAAACATCAAAATTATATAACAACATTTTGCAATTTTATTTTGAATCTGCAAAACCGAATGTCTTGAAAATTTCCAGATGTTTTTAAGTTATCATAAGCATGGGAAATTTTTATTCAAAATATATTTGCTTATTCCACCCGAAAACATTTATGGCATCACCTCAAAATTTACATTTGCTTAAACAAGGTGACTCAAAAAAAAATTAATGACTTATTTTATTTTATTGATTAAAACAGGAACTACAAAAAAGAATACTTTGAAATCTTGCAAACGTTTTAAGCTTATCGTAATCATGGTAAATTGTTAATCAAAATGTATTCATTTAAGTATCCTCTCCTAAAAAGTTCATGACGTCATCTCAAAATTTTGTCAAATAAATCCTCTTTAAATTATGCAAAATATTATCACTTAATACGTGTAATTTAGCACTGCATTAATATTTTTTTGGTTTGCTTATGCAGGTGGCTCAAAAAAATATTAATTTATTTTTTTGATCAAATTAAGAACGGCTCACTTCAGTTTCCCAAAAATTTGGGAACATAATTTTGTCATTATTAGTATTATACTCCACTAATCCAAGTTGATGTACGTATCCTTGCAAAAATGTTGATGACGTTATCACAAAATTTATAAAATAAAAATTCATTTGAAACACACGCGTAACCCGCTTCTTTACATTTACTTTAATATTACATGTTTACGTATATTTATTTCAACTTACACAGGTTCTCATCAAAATAAAATCCGCAAAATCAAGTTTTATGTATTTTTTTTTAATTCTAGATATGTTTCATTGTACCTCAGAAGCGAAGGAATTTCTGGCGAAACAGTTTTCGGCCAATTTATTAATTGTAATTTAAACGTTTCGTCCACTTTTCTGTGAATGCTGAACGAATTTTTGTTTAAAAATCACTACACAGAACTGACTCAGATGATTTGTTTTTCGGAATCTTATATAACTTAATAGTACCATTCGTTTGACTTTGCAGCCACTATCGTTAGATTAGAACATTTGTAATTGCTTTGAAAATATCGTCCACCATAGAGATTCCTTTCTTCTTTCACTACGATTCTTTTTGCTATAAGTAAACATCCTAAATTTTCAAAACAATGTTCAAAGTTATTTTTCGATGCCACATATCCAGGGTATCGTAAATATGGTACAAAGTACTACCATTTTAAAGCATGTATAAAATAGAATGTCGTTAAGACTTAACACACAAACTAAGAAAAACAGCATTTAAATGCAGACCGACGTGTTATTAAGGTCTATATTAATAAAATTAGTCTTCAAAAATGATTACATAAGTAAGACAAAATGATATACCCAACTCACTCTTTTTGAGCACATAACTTATTTAAAACATTTCTTTCTGTCTTAAACTTTCCGTTTATCGACTATACCGTTTCCATTGCGCTCCGGCGTTTCCCCACGTTGTTCATCAAAATGGGCACTACATTAAATTGATCAATGGGGTGTTTTCGTAATAGTTGCTGGTTTCGTTTTGATTCTAGTTGTTTCGATTTCTCATCAGTAGGTCAATTCAATAATGTTTTCCTCCTCCATTTCTTATTCTTCATCATCAATCACAAACACTTTATAAACAAGTATTCACAAGGTACTGTCAATATTAAATGCCAGTTTAGAATTAGAGTGTGAAAAACAGTTTTATTTATTTTGTGGCAATAATTCATGTTTAAATTTATGTTATCCACTATCCATTTTGACATTCTGACAGTTAGCGCTACAGATGTATGACAATATGTAAAAGAGGCATGTCATAACTAATATGAAGAGTTACAAACACAATTCAAGGTCGATAGATACAATCAAAACATTATTTATTCTTATTGTGTTTGCTGAACGTAAAGCAAATTACTTAACCTAATGGGTTAATAATTGTCCCATTCCCTATGTTTTGACCCAGTCGCCTAGACACAATCGATTGTCCTCAATCCCCGTAACTACACCCCCATTACACATCAAGTAAACCATGGAACGTTGGCAAGACAAAGTCGCTGTCGTTACAGGAGCCAGTTCCGGCATAGGCGCCGAAATCTCCAAACTCTTAGTCCAAAAAGGCGTTAAGGTTAGTATACGACAGTACCCCCACCACTCCCTCCACCGCTTTTCCCAAGGTCGTAGGACTTGCCCGTCGCGTCGAACGCGTCGAAGACCTCGCTTGCAAACTTGCCGATCAACCGGGTGAACTTTTCGCTATTTCGTGTGACGTCACGAAGGAAGAAAACATACAAGAGGCCTTTAAATGGGTGAGCGAAAATGTCGGGCCGGTGCATATTTTGATCAACAACGCTGGTTTGACGAAACCCACTAACTTGACTGGTATTAAAGACTTTTAGAAGCTAATCACTTTTATATTGTTTCGGTTTTTCAAGATGGCTGCACCGAGCTATGGCGACAAGTTTTTGAAGTTAATGTGATGGCGCTGTGTATTTGTACGCGGGAAGCTATTAGCATTATGAAAGAGAACGATGTAGATGGTCACGTGATCCATTTGAATTCGATTGCGGGCCATCAAGTGCCCAATGTGCCCAATTTTAACGTATACCCAGCATCGAAGTTTGCAGTTACAGCCCTGGCGCAGTCGCTAAGGCAAGAGTTGGCTAGGGAGAAAAGCCGGATTAAGGTTACAGTGAGTAGGGCTGATTTTGCTATTAAATTATTAATATCTAATAACAATAATTTAGCGGTTTTATAGTTGTTATAAGGTATTTTTTTATTTTCCACAACATTTTCAACATCTATAAACTCTACCTGATCAACTGATGTAACTAGGTAAATTCTGATTAGTGAGTACCTATCCTAGAAAAACTGTATTTTAAGAAGAGAAAAAGCAAACAAACTTCGATTTCAGATTGTATATATTGAACTTTAAAACAATTTTTTTGGGATTATAAAACATTCCACTTGGAATATTCTAAAGGAATCTCACTTGAATGTGATAAGAGGTAAAACTAATAGTACTATGATATAAAATTAAGATCATAGAAGACAACTAATTTAAAATGAATCGAAAAAGTTGCTTTCAAAAAGGGAAAATGTTCTATAAAGAAAAACAGATAAACTACCAAAAACAAAGGACGTTTGAAAACCAAAACCGTGCTAAATTTCAGAACGTAAATAATATACCAAAAAAAAAATATTGTTGATTAAGAAGGAGATTCTAAGAAACTGTATAGAAAAATTACGACTTCAAATAAAAGGTCGAACAAGTTCTTTACAGACTTCTACAACTGAAAAATAAACTCAAATCACTCTTATTAGGTAGGAACAGTGACAACAACGTTCTTCAGTATGCTGCTAGAGAAGCGAAGAAAAAGCATTGTACAATTTTATTATTGATGATTTTGGACTATAGAAAAGTTTAACGAAAAACACAATTTGTACTGGTTCGCAATCAGCAAACTAAACACTGCCCTTACATCTATAAAACTTAGTAGGAAGAAAAATAAGAAAAAGAAGTCAAGAAACAAAGCAAGAATACTAAGTCATGGAGGTAGAATGAGAGAAGAGAAAATAGTTTGAAAAAGCGTCTAAAGGTCGATTTATAAACTTGTCGCTGGAGTTGCTGTTTGCTGTTGACTTTGCCGTTGTAATACAAATACGCAGCGTAGGTATGCGTCGTTTATATCATCCGTTGACGTTGCCGTTGAAAGTTGGCACACCATTGGGGTGACGTTCGAGATGACCAACTTTTAACTTTCGCCGTTACGTTGCCGTTGACGTTGGTTTTTCAACCAATCAAATTGCGGTAGTGTGCAGTGCTGCCAACCTGAAGGAAAATCCCCTGAAGTAGGGGGGAGATTTATCAAGTTGACAGCACTAATTCTATGAAAATCAAATTTTGATAGAAATAATGAGGTCCACTAATATTAAGCCATTACGTCACCTCTTCACCGAAACCCTCATATTTTAAATATCTGCCATCATTTTCTACATTATAGCTTTCTGTTCGACTGTTTTGTCATCCTACTTCCACAGGAGGGGTATTCTATGACCTCCATGGACTAAGTATATTTTGCTGACTTATTAACTATCTGGTGTGGTGATGGTAATTGGGATCAAGAGAATGTCTTCGAAGTACTTAATAATTGTTTTGTGATGTATATTTTTAATTTATTCTCAAGTTTGTGGACCAATTAAACAACAAAACAGAAGTTAGGCCGAGGTTTCGCCGCTCTTTATTAATCGCTGGCTTCCTTACGGTGAAGATAGCTCTAGAGAAACCAGCAAATAGTAAAGAGCGACGAAACGTCTGTCTTATTTTTTAATTGGTCCACAATCCTAAGAATAAGTTACAAATTTAATAGTAAGAGGTAATTAATGATTCTTACTAAAATAAAAGTATCATCAGTCATCAGATACGAGTACAAGAAAAAGTTGAAACGATTGTTGAAACGACAAAAACAACCACATGGCAAACAATTTAGTCTGGCAGTAAAAACAAGTAGAAATATCTCAGACAGTCGAAGAAATACTTGTTAGCATTAGAGACTCTCATTAAAAAAAACTTATTTCTCTAACTGAAAAGGTTTGGTTCCTAATTTTCTCTTTCTCTCTTTCTTTTTTTTTTTCTGGCGACTGATACTTTTGTATTACTTATTTAATAAAGAAAACACATCTGTGACACTTTTCTCTTAGAGCATTAGTCCTGGCCTAGTCCGGACAGAATTTCAAGAAGGTGTCGCTGATGACGGAACTCGAGAAATCTTAGCTGAAATGCCAGCCTTGACCCCGGAAGCCATTGCTGATGCCGTTGTATACGTTTTATCCACTGATCCTTCAGTTCAGGTATGTCCTTGTCCACATTCATTTAACAACAAACCAAACAAACATTTTTCAGGTTAGCGAACTCACCATACGCCCTGTGGGAGATATGTTTTAAGTACCTAAATACTTGGCTGTGGTCAATCGCGTGTGCGTTTGTGTGGTTCACTCTTACAAATAAAGTTATTCATTAAAATAATAGTTTTCACTTTACTACAAATAAAGGTTTCTCGAATTACAAACCAGACTTTTTTTACGAGTCATTGTTTTTCCTTTCGAATTAAGTATAGCAACAATTACTATGATGAACAAGAGTGTGAGTAAATCTTTAACAATAACATGGCAAACTCGTCTTTATTACTAAAAATAATAATGCTAATATCATGACTCTCATATTTTAATTTTCAATGACACGTTACGCAATTGTGATGTAATTACCCAATAAAAACTAAACAAAAAAAATTCTTTGTCGAAATTAAATCCCATCGTCTATAAATGATGAGTCAATGAAAGACATAATAGTCAGTTCTCGTTCAAAGCTCTCACGCAAAGTATCCATTTAGTGTTGACTTTTCAGTGAAAATAGACCCATCATGGAACGCTGGGAAGGCAAAGTCGCCCTAGTTACAGGAGCTAGTGCCGGGATGGGTGCAGCTATAGCTAAAGCTTTAGTCCTAAAAGGATTAAAGGTAAGTAATGCGAAAAAATATAAAGAAATTATTGATTGAGCTTAAAATAGAATGCGTGATCAAATATTCCTGGCAGTCAACAACTACTTATTTAGTTATTTTAAATTTTTCTATAGTGGTTAGGTTTCACGCTTGCAGTTCATTTTCACACTCCTTTGTATATATAATTTATCCCTTACCGAGTGCATTTTGTACATGGGTGTTTTCTGATATTTTGCCAGGAAGATTATTATTAGTAGCGGCTCGCGGTCTTTTCGTTAGGTGAGGCAACAATTTCGTTTCAAAATCAGCAGGTATTAATTAACATGTTGGCAATTACTTTTGTTAAAAGACAGATTGTTTATTCGTTTTTATGAAAAAAATACAAATAGAGTCAGTAACATATCTCTATTCTATATAGGTACACTTCTCGAATAAAAAACATTTAATTGCTTCGCACAAACCAACGAGAAGGTTTAAAGACTACAGAATTTGCTTTATTAGCATTAAATATTAATTCATATATCTAGGGCTAATTTAAATATATTAATCAATTAATTAATAAAGTTCTGCTCAAATCTGGATGAGAGGTTCTAAATCTTTGACATACAATTGTTCGACGTAAGAAAACCGTGCTTAAATATTTAAACTTTATAAGAAATTCTGGAGATTACGGATTCTTATGTTGCTATCAGCATTGCAAAACTGACATTTTCATTGTCCTACTGTGTTCAAGTTAACTTAAAAGTTTTAATACATAACCTTGGCAATGCACATGCAGTGAACACCTTTCCTCGCGTCTAATTAATGCACAACTAAATGCACACTAATTGCATTCAGCATCCCTGTTCAGCATTGTGCAGTTTCACCGTGAGATTAAAAAATTCGATCTGATTGGCTTAAGGACGGTAGGCGTTGGTGCCTCCGCTGGCGCTTTGATAAAGCACTGATGACTATTGTCATACTCAAAAACATATTAGCACCACTGACTAATCATACTGAAGATATCCGTTTATGGCATGCCTCTGTCTTTAGCTGGCCTACACGGCGATGATCAGCGCTTATTCCTGTCGAAAGCGCGTACTTCAAAATATGTTACCAAGATGCGTTTTAATAAATCACAGTGTTCCATATTTGCTTTATCTTTAAAATATATTTGAAGTTAACAGATATTAAAACAAAAACTAATAGTCAATTTTTCCAGAGGAGGCACTGCCTCCCCTGCCTCCCCTGACGAGCCGCCACTGATTATTATTGTATCTCCGTATACAGTAACACAAAATGCTTAACATAATAAGATCTGTGACCACATTTACATTTGAAGTTGTTTTTTATTAATAATAAGAATAATCAATTGACATGGCAAGAGTTGAATACACTGCTGAAAAGGATTTTGCAGAAAATGAAAGTTTCGTTATTTGTACCTATCAGAAAATAATTCTTTGACAAATTACGAAAAATAGGTAGCACCATGTAAAAAACCTAAAGTAACTTCGAAAATCCTACGAACAATTGCGAATTTACGTTATTTTTTATACCATTTTGTAGATCTTCCAGTGGACAATTTGTTCTCTGTACAGGTAGGACGGATAAATTATGAATAACGATTTACCATGCTTCCGATAATCTTGAAACGTTCGTAAAATTTCAAACCATTCCGTTTTGAATTTCAAAGTTAAATGATAAAATAAAGTTGTTATACAATTTTTGATGTTTTTTCCAAAAATCTGGATGTCTACAGTAATAACTCAACACGGATTCATAAACCACAAGTGTAGGGGTATGTTATTTTATGAAATTTAAATGACATTTACTATTCTATGATGATGATCAGACACATCTTGATTAGCGTTATACCATCTACATGATGTTCCTAATATACAGGGTTTTGATAAATTATAATAAGGGCGTAGTTGACCATGGATTTAAAAAATCCCGCTTCGCTGAAATTATGCCTCATTGTGACAGTTCTCATTTATTACCATTAATGTCATTTATAACCTGCTATTTACAGTCATCGTTTTTATTGCTTTAACGTTTTTCACGTGTAATTCTCGTTAATCCAAACTCAAAACAACAAAACAGTCGTTTTCTCTTAGTGCTTGGGTACAAAAATTTTGTTTCTGTGCTAGGAAGCAAAGGCCGTGAAAATGGTTTACTCTGTTGAATAAGACATTTTCATTGCTATGTCTTGTTATCGCAATGAGACATTCGTAAACGAAGAGAGGGTGTATTCAGTAACCGCTTGTCAGCAAGAATATCTGGCCCAATACCGTGATTTAATAATTCAAGAAACATCATTAGAGGCTCACATTAGAGCTGTAATCAACAGATTTGTTCGAACTGGCAGTGTCAACAAAGAGAAATCTCCTAGAAGACTTTCAATACCTAAAGAAGTTGTTGACGATTTGAGACGACTTGAACAGAATCCACAAACATGTTTGACAAGATTTCCTCAACAGTCAGGAGTTCCAGTTGTAACATGAAATTGAATAATGAGTATTGACGAAAGGATTACAGAACATTTTTGAAATTAAAAAGAGAGTGAACATGTACCTTGAACAAAATGGATAACATTTTCAACATTTACTGTGATGTTTAACCACAATAAATTTGTTTTTTTTTATTATAATAAATTCGTTTTATTTTTTAATAAGATATGACGCATTTAGGTAACTAGTTATACGGATGCGTGTGATCCTTGGGTATTTAGTAAGTTCAAAACTGACAGGCGGCACGTTTTCATGACCTATTTCGACCCTATAATCATTCGTAGAAACCCTGTACATATAAAATTTGACAACAATCGGTCGGGTAGTTTCGAAACTATCTGCCTAATGAAAATCGACTCAGATGATATACAGCGGACGGCAAACGACAGACAAATAGACGAACAAACGGAAATAGGAGACCTATATTTTCGTATTGTAGGGGTCATGTAACACAGAAAAAACATTAAAATAACCAGTCGCCTAATGAACGCTATTACAATACTTCCTTAGCTTATACTGTGGAAGAAAAGCAAGATTTTAATTTCCGCCTGTAAATCTGTTGCCGATTTCATTAGGTACGTGATCTACGAAACCACTGGAACGATTTCTGTACTTTAAGACTATCGTACTAACCAAATATTTAATGAATTTTAATAATTAATTACATTAAGTTAATTATGTATTCCTATCACAGACAAAACTCTAAAAATATTTTATTTTAATAAATGTTGAATTATCCGCTGCACGTTTTTAGTGTTGAAAATTATAATTTATATATCTCATTACCAAAAATCATTGTCATCAAAGTAGGCTATGGAAATCGTATTTACTTGAAACATAAATTCATAAATAAACGAATTCAATATTTCCTGCGCTAATCCAGTATGTACTTCCATTTAAAGTCAAACCTCAAAAGAAAACACTTTTAACTTTTTTACTACGTAAAAATGTATGAAATCAACAAACAAGGCAGTTCCCAGTTTTTCACCTACACTACCAGTTTGTTCAAAATTGTCAATAGTAAGCTGCAGTTGACAAGAAAATGTATCAACAGGTCCTGGTATTTCGGGAAATTGCTCACGAAACTCGTTTAAACATAAATTTGCATTATAAATCTCATTAAATCTGCTCTCCATTTTCTGAACGTTGAGAATTTCTTTAATATAACTGTATCATAAAAATTTTATGTTGTTTCGAAAATATTTTAGTTTTTGAAAAATAATAGAGTAAAAAATTATCTATTTTGTTTTTGTTTTACTACTGTACTGTACGATTCAAACTCACTGCTTTTGTTTTTTATAGTAACAATAATTATTGAAAATAAGTTTTGATCATATTTTATTTATATTAGTGTTCTCATTTTATTATCAAAACAAGTGAGATTTAGAAACTTGTATTTTTAGGTTGCAGGCTTAGCCCGCCGCATCGACCGCATCCAAGACCTCGCCGCCTCCCTCTCCGACGCCCCCGGCCAGCTCCACCCCGTTCGCTGCGACATCACCAACGAAGACGCCATATTAAAATCCTTCAAGTGGATAAGCGAAAATCTCGGCCCCGTGCACATCTTAATCAATAACGCCGGATTAACCAGACCCACGAATCTAGTAGGTAAGCTCACTCCAATTTGCCCCACTTTTGTACTCAGTGACGTCACTCAGACGGCGCCACCGAAGAATGGCGCCGCGTTTTCGACGTCAACGTCATGGCGTTGTGTATCTGCACCCGAGAAGCTGTCAGAATCATGAGGGAGAACAATATCTCAGGTCATGTGATACACATGAACGCTATAGCCGGCCACTACGTCCCGAGCATGCCCGAACCAAACTTCAACGTCTACCCGGCGTCCAAGTTTGCTGTTACAGCCCTGACGGAGAGTTTGAGGCAAGAGTTGAGGTATCATAAAACTGGAATTAAAGTTACGGTAAGGTTACGTGTGGGTCTTGCGATATTAAAAGTGATTTTTATAAATTTCTTTAGAGTATTAGTCCAGGGGTGGTCCGTACTGAATTTCAGGAGGGATTCCCGGATGATGGGACGAGAGATGCTATAGCTCAGATGCCGGCCTTGCGTCCGGAAGATATAGCAGAGGCGGTTATTTATATTTTGTCAACGCCGCCTCATGTTCAGGTATTGTCTTGTATGTGATATTTTGAAAGGTATAATTGTCTTTGTTTAAGGTACATGAACTTACTGTGCATCCTCTTGGAGAGCTATTTTGATGATCCAGAAGTTATATTATGTAATGCAGATGTACCATTGACAGATCATTATTGCTTTTTGTATATTTGATAATAATAAACTTTATCTGACGTTGCTATGGAGTTTTAAATGAAAGTTAAAAAATTCAATAATTTTTTATTTTGTATTTATTAAGAATATATAGTCTTTGCCATTTCTATTGAAACACCACTTGTTAATCGTAAATTTGACAACGTTAATATTTAGACAATTTTCTAACTAAAAGCCGTTGTCAATCAACCGAAAGCTGTTACCAATTGCTAAATTTTGAGCAAAATCAACAGGTGGTGTTTCAATAGAAATGGCAAAGACAATACATAGATGAAAAATAAGTATAATACCAAACTTATTGGTCGATAAAATGTAGAAGACCTTACAGATTTTCTCCAGTAGTAAAGCATTTACACGTTTTTGACATATATTTTTGGTTGTAATTTCTTTAGAGGCGTTTGATAATAGTTATAATTATAGAGATCACAACCAGTAGGTATATGAGGAATTTTTTATATAAATGCTTATTAATTAATCAAGTGATTGGCCAAGATACATATAAGATACTTCGAGACCTATGGACACCAAAATCCCCTAAAGACAAGACATATGAAGAGCTCTGCAACCAGTTGAAGAAGCACTTTTCTCCAACTACGTGCGTTTTCAGAGAGAGGTTACGACACTAAGCAGATGAAAGAAGAGACCGTAAACGATTGGCACGTGCGAATTCACAATATCTCGACGAATTTCGATTTCGATCCCAGACCTAAAAAACGTCCTCAAAGACAAATTCGTATACGGTATGCGGAAAGGTCCAATTCGCGAACGACTGTGTGAAGAAAAGCAGACCAAATCATTAGAAAATCTTTTAAAAATTGCACTAACGAAAGAAACCACCATTAAGGCCGACAACGAGATTATCTGGTCAACTTTTTAGACAATATATTAGTCACTGGAAAGACCAAACAAGAACGCAAAAATAACTTGAAGCAAGTGTTCCTAAGACTGAAAGAGGCAGGCTTCGTTTTGAAATTATCAAAGTGTGAATTTTTCAAAAATGAATACAATAATCAGGGTATGTAATATGAAAAGAAGGGTTAAAGACAGATAAGGATAAAATCAGAGCCATGCTTGAAACACCCAGGCCAAAGAATGTATGGCAGATAAAAAGCTTTTGTTGGTCTAGTAAACTACTACAACAGATTTGTACCAAAATTTACAGGAATAATGAAGCCTCCTTATGAGCTGCTAAAAAGCAAGAGGAAATTTACTTGGGGTCATAGTTGCGAACGAGCGTTCAACCTTATTACGCAAGAAATCGCGTCAGATCGGGCCTCGCAGTATGGAATTGCAACCACCTTATCTCACAAGATTACAGACTTAAAATCAATAGCATTCATTTCCAGGGCTTCAAGCAAGGGAAATCCGTCCTAGGTAAAGAAGTTTTGGCGATTTACTGGGCGACATCAAAATTTTGGACATATACCGCGTGTCTAGAAAATGGCGGTTTAACTCTTCAGTACGTTATATACCGGGGTTTCGACAATCCCAAAAAAATAATAAAAAAAATCATTATGATGTAGATTACGAAAACAACGTAATTTTATCAAAGTATAATTGGCAACCCAGCACACACATGATGCGTGAATATCTCCGGCTTACTTTCTGGTTTCTTAGTAACGATTGAGACTGAAATCCACCTTCGCTTTATATCAGGAAAACATTGTTGTAAAATGGAATTTTAGCAAATTATTACAAAAACAACACAGCCATATCTTTGTGCATTCTAACTGAAATGGCAATTAAACCTGGCCATGGGCGAGAAAAATATTAACTAAAAGTTTTATTACTAGTTACTGTGATAATGAATGAGTTGTTTAGTTGTTAAACGTAGCAAAAGAACCAATTTTAAAATCATTATAACTCCACCAAAATGTGAGAATGATTTTTTTTACTATTTTTCCCAGACTCACCAGTTGATTGTTAAGAGCGTAGCGGAGAGTTAATCCGCCATTTTCCAGACACCTAGATATCTTCTGAGGCACAATTTTGAAATACACACAGACCACAAGCCGCCGATCTAGCTGTTCGGAGAGCAAAACAGAACACCACAAATGGCATCACCTAGGTTCCAACGGTGGGCACTCTATCTGTCTGGATTCCTATATAAAATCAAGTTTGTTAAAGGCCAGAAGAACAGTGTACTTGACATGTTGTCAAGACATCCGATGTGGTCAGAAATAGGACCAGGACAAACTGCAGAGGTTATGGAAACATCCTATGTTAATCTAGTAATTGCAAAGGAAATGCCAGTCACACACACCGCGATATCGCAAGATACACGACGTGATCCCACGTTAAGTAAGGTCGTGAAATTTGTAACTGACGGGTGGCCAGAGGAAAAAACAAATGATATCCTAAAACCGTTGGTCCAGAGGAAAGACGATAACCTGCGAACAAGGATGTCCGATGTGGGACTACCGAGTAACAGCACCCAAAAATCTGCAGTGCCACTTGTTAGAGGAACTACACAGCAGTAACCTGGGTATAGTCAAAATAAAATCCATAGCCAGAGCCTATTTTTGGTGGCCAAATCTTGGTAAGGAAATTAAGAGCATAGTTTTTAGCTGCATTCCAAGTCGCAAAGGAAACCCATAAAATCGTCCCAATTCCGTGGAATAGACCAACGCGTCTGTAGCAAAGAGTAGGTATACATCGACTTCCTTGGACCAATTGACAACAACTATTACCTAATCATGTTGAATGCTTACAGTAAATGGTCTGAAGTCTTTAAAATGAACTCGATCACTGCAATAATCAGCAAAATCAGAGAAACATATGCAAGATGGACGATTTCGGGACGTTAGTATCAAGCAACGGCGCACAACTCACGTCAGAAGAGTTTTCAGTTTTCCTAAAAAGAAACGGAATAAGGCACGTTACTGGATCGCTATTCAAACCGGAGACAAATTGAGCGCAGAAAAGGTAGCGCTATTAGTCCAAAGAAACCGACAGGTTGCGATAGACACTCTTGTCAGTAGATAATTATTTTGCTAGGTAGAAATCTCCACACGACGCTCAATTTAATGAAACCTAGACGCAGAATGGCAATTTAAACCCAAAAGTCGAGATTCGCCAACATTTGGGAAGAAAAGTACAGTTTGGATTGGGGACTATTGGAAACACCAAAATTTGGCACGAGGTAAAAGTCATCGACACATTGGGACCACGAAACTAGACGTGTGAATTACCAAACGGACAAAAGTGGAAGAGACACGTTAACTAAATTAGAAAAAGAGTCGAAACATCGAGTGCTGAGAACAATAAATCACATTTTGAGAAGAAAAAATCCATAAAATTTGTTTTGAATATTCATCTAAATATGCTCTCGCTTCTAGTCGGGCTGTAACTACGGCTCTTCCTAATTTTCACGTTGAAAAACAAAAAACGAGTACCTTAATTTTAACACCTCGTGGAGTTTTCTTTTGTTCCTTCGTTATATAATGATTTATGTAAAAGTTTTCCTAATCGACTAAGATGGAATATACGTAAGAACGTGTAGTACTCCCTACTGCCGATTTCTATGTGAGGGTCTAAAGAGGAATTTATAAACTTATAAATAACCTCTACCTCTCCTACACGGACTAAAATTGGTTTCAATACTATTTGTGCAACTATACAGATTTAATGTGGCATTTACGTCACTTCTGATCTTTTACATTTTAAAATTTCAGTATCAGTGAATCCAAAGGATTCAGTGTAATGGTTTTGCTAAAAAATTATTGCGAACCGCTTGTTTCTTTACTCCACGTGGCAGGTTTAATCCCTAAATAGTTCATAAAACACTTGGGCTCAAATAGGGATGTCATCACCGTCAAGTGACTACCTAGTTGATAAAAAGCTTCCTACAAGAGTTCTACGAGTTTCATAGTAAATATACCGGTAGAGGCATACAAAGATCAGCAGATCTGCTTTGCAAAAAGCATTTATTTATGGATTTGTAAAAAAGTAGCTATTTCACAACAAACTCTTTTATTTTGTACAAGTTGAAAGTGTTGGGAGGAATTTAAGAACAAAAATATTTTCAGCTCTATGTATACATATTGAATCATTAATAAATGCGTGTGTAAATATATAGAAGTTAAATAATTTCTTCCAGTACTTATTTGTTTTAAAGTGACCGCGGTACCCACGTAAACTACTGCGATAGACAACAAAATTGTTTATGGTACTAAAGGAAATGCAAATTAATCTTCCTGGCCTCTGCGCGCAACTGTCCCAACGATTTATATATATTATATACAGCGTGTAATTGAAAGGTACGTACAAAACAAAATCGGCAATTGGTCTCGAAGTATGGGTGCTAAAAGTTAAAAAAGTTCGGGTAAAAGTATTATCCTTTTAGAGATAAAAATTATTAAAATTTATGTCCAAATTAGTTGTACGCGTCTGATAAAAAGATGACTTATCTCTCATTGCTATAACAACATTTAGTCTTAACAAAAGTTTTATTGTTACGGTTGCTAGGATTTACTAAACTAAATTAATTTTACCTATTTATCTTCCAGTAGCGTCTAAAAAGGTTGGATAAAGGTTAATTTTCCCTTTATAATTTTGATAACACAAAATAAGTTTTTCAAACTTCTTAGACTTCGCGAAGAACTGTCAATTTTGTTGTACGTATGTACGTACCTTTCAATAACAGCCTGTATATCAGTGGCGGCTCGTCAGGGGGGGGGGGCAGTTAGGCCAGGCCGAGTCTGTCACCGAACTTGTCAATTTGCGATATTCACTTTTATTTTAAACGCAAGAATATAATTTAGAGCTATTTTGAAATCACCTGATTTTACTGTTGTTATTATTTTTTTAATTACAAAAAGCGTTATCTAATTTATTCACTTTCGTTCGGAAGCACAAATCGTGCCGGGAAGTTTGAATATTTTTACTGCGAGGAGCAGTAGCTGAGGCCGGCCGACTACAAGAATAAACGTCGAATAATGTCATATCTGCTATCGCTTTCTGTTTAGCAGAATTAAAGAGAAATAGCTATAAAGACTGATACGTGTCTGATACACTCTGATTAACGCGCCTGCAGCAGTGATTGGTCAAATGTCTGGTAAAATCGGCCGGCCTTTCGGCAGTACATCAAGTTGTTATAGCGCTATCACCTTCTGTTTGTATAAGTTAGAATGCAATAGCGACGAAACCGTAGAATATTCCGTTTCATCACTGCACTTCTGCCGTGCACTTTTCCATGCGGTTCCCCACTACCAGCACCGGCTGGCCGCTATCTGTATATTGTGAATTTCTGCAGTCTTCACGTGGATGAAATTGGTTTAGGTTTGTTTCTAATTTCAGTAACAATGACAACAGTTAGTAAGAGCATTAGTAACTGATTTAAATTTTGATGCTGTTACACATCTATTAAATAATGACTTTCGACTTTTAACGTACGATGATCAATTCCTTGGATATAAAAGAAATGGGCCGTTCGGAGCCGCGCATGCAACATTTAATCGAAGCACGGAGCAATAATAACGTCAGCTCCGGTGCAATAGCATATTAATAATAATTAATACAGCATGGTATGAAAATTATGAATGGCTGACGGGGAGCAAGTCAAAAAACAAACTATTTTGTTGGTATTGTTTAATTTTTGGATATGATGTTGACAATAAATTCAAAAAAACTTCAGAAAAAGAGTTTTGCCTCTGGTCCTCTGGTACGATTGACATATTGAGTTACCGTGCTCTTTTGCCATCTGCCTAATTTCTCAACTCTGCTCCTGATGATGCTCCTTAGTCCTTACGAAAATGTAGAAGCCTCCGAAATTATTTCTGTCTTTAATTTTAATCATATACCATCCACATCAGCATATGTTGAACGCAGTTTTTCAGCTTTAAAGCGAATTACAAATTTTACTAGAAACTCCATTAGTCAAAATCGATTATCCAAATTATTCGTTTTAGCAATAGAAAAAGAAGTGCTTACAAACTTAACGGAAGATCAAAAGTTCTATAATCAAGTAATTGACCACTTTGCCAATACAAAACAAAAACGCATTGAATTGGTTTATAAAAATTTCTAATTTACTTTTTTAATTTTGTTTTTTACTAATAAATAGTTGTTGACGTTTCATGTTATATTTTTTGTTAGAATGTGTTACTTTATTATTTGAATGTTATTTTCATTTTTATTTGAGTTTACTGTCGTTATTTTATTATTATAGATGGCTTATATTGTATAAGTATATGCTTTACTTTATACCTATTTGAAGAGTATTTTTTATTTTGTTTTACCAAGTTGTTAGGACTATATGAATTAACACCATACAGGTAGCAAATTATAGATAATGACTAACTTGAGTTCCCTGGTTCTTGTATTCTATGTCTTAAAACTTTTTTGTTACTCACTGCTGGCCCACCCAACCAAAATAGTCACCAGCCGCCACTGCTGTATATAGTTAAACGATGCATATAATTGTCGATAATAGACTCATTATCGTAATATATTATTTTTTCAGTATAAAACTACTAGTTAGTGATGAAAAATTAAGTGTTTAATTTTTTTACACGTGAATTTTATCTTGCTTAACATTTCTAATTTCCATAAAGCTTTAAAAATATTTGTACATTAAACCAGATTATATATTTATTAAGCGTACACATTAAATATATAAAGTGAAATTCAATTCTCCTTCTTTTACGTAAATCAGAACGTCAAACGCTGCAGCTAATACGAGCAGTGTAAATTACTCCCCCTAAATTCACAACTTAAACTGCTCAGACGCCTTTAGGTCTACTACGACGTTTTGGTGTTGTATTATTCTTAAGCTGATCCACCTACTTGTGCACTGATTATGGTTTATTATGGTTTGTCATTCAAATCCCCAATGCGTTCAACCAAAGCCAGTCTACAGTTACTGCGAAATTAAGTGGGAAAACTTGATTCTCTTCTCCTCAAACAAAACTTTGAGAAACCGAAGTTATGCATACAGAGCATTTTTTGCAAAATCTTCTCTAGGAAAATGTGCAGTTATTATTAAATTAATGAGCGCTCACAACTGCAAACATAGTGGCAAACAACATATGTCAGTTAGCATTATGGGGTACGAGGCTAGACATCCAAAATGGTTCTATAACACAAATATTACTACAGACTACTGCATACAGACTGCGACGATATTCAACTTAAGTTATTAACTTTATAAAACATAGGTAGAATATACCCTTTTAAACAGTAACAAACAATAAATCAAGCAGAACTATTACGTACAAAATATCGGTTCTACCCCTTACATAAAGGCTTTTCTTCGTATGTTGTCTTATTTATATTTTATTTTAAATAGTATTTGTCGAAATTAAAGTCTTCTGCATGAATGCAAAAAATTTTATGTATCGTACATTAGATTTAATACAATTATGATAACTGTTAATAATAAAATTAGATTAGCTCGCCTACTGATTTTATCATAATATCGTGCACCTAGAACCGTCCAATTAAAAATTATCCACAAAAACACCAGCACAAAGCACCTGAACATGAGGCGGCGTTGACAGAGTAAACACAATAGCATCAGCAATATCTGAAGGAAACAAAATCGGTCCACTTGTTACAGCCTCCTTCGTTCCATCTTTAATGTACCCTTCATGAAACTCTGAACTCACAACTCCTGGACAAATCATCTGAAAAAAAAATTATCACAATTACGTTAACACTACGTACACGCTTACCGAAATCTTAATGCCCGTCTTATGAAAATTCAGCTCCTGTCGTAAGTTTTCCGTCAATGCCGTAACCGCATACTTAGTTGCAGAATAAACATTAATGACAGGAGTAGGCATCATGACTGGGTATCTGCCGGCTATGGATCCTAAATGAACAATGTGACCGGCTATATTGTTGTCACGCATGGATCTGACAGCTTCGCGCGTACATATGCACAAACCTATGACGTTGACGTCAAAAGTTGAACGCCATTCGTCCGTGGAGCCCTCTGCGTGAACGTAAAGTTGTAGTAGCGTAAGGGAGTGAGTACGCTTACCTGTTAGCGTAGTGGGGCGTATAAAACCCGCATTATTTATTAAGACGCTGATGGGTCCTAAGTTTTCTTTGACCCAGGCGAAGGCTTCTAGGATTTGGTTTTCTTCTGACATGTCGCATTTTAGCGCGTAAAGTTCTCCAGGCGCGTCCGTCATGGAGTAAATCATTTCTTCGATGAGTTCGACACGTCGCGCTAAACCCACGACCTGTAATTAAAGTGACTTTTACCAATTGGTGTTGCTGAATTTGGAAGTGTTGTAATGTCACTTTCATCCCCTTTTGGGCTAAGAGTTTGGCAGTGGCGGCGCCAATACCCGCACTTGCACCTGTCACGATTGCGATTTTACCTTGCCAGCGTTCCATGCTAATTAACGATTTCCTCATAATAATTCATCTTTTGTAAGTATTATTGGAATCGATTCTCTCGTGGCAACTAGACCACAACACACGTGTCTGGGAAAAACTGCAGCGCTTTAATATTTAAGTAATTAAACATTGATACACTAAGGCGAGACCCAGTCAAGGTCTGGCAATAAGATGCCAGTTTGTATTGTAATCGAGTCCGTCAGCCCACTCTCTACGTTTTCTCGACCTTTCATGACCCCTAGAGTACGAAGAATTAGGTCTCCCGTTCCCGTCTCTCTCTCGACACGGATTTTTATTAGACATTTCTTGAAAATGTGAAGAAGACGCACCTGTTTATAGAATAATGATAAAAAAAGAGTTATAATATTCAAAACAATTTGTTCGATTGTGGTTTAATTAATAATAATTTTAGTCCTGTGTTTTGAGAAGACAAACCCATTCAAATCAAACAAATTTCTACGCGACATTCTTTGGATGTATAAACATAAATAAACACTCGAGCGTCAGATTGCTATTACCTAGTGTTGAAGGAGAATGGTTGTTAGAGATGGATTATTTTCAGTTCAACATGGTGAGTCATCAGAATCTAACAACGGACTGTCAGTCAGTGGCGTAACATGCACACTTCAGTAATTTTTAAAATTATTTTTTTAAATTGCAAACAATAATAGGCGGAAACATAAACTTAAGTGAACTGGTCAACACACTAGCACGAATGCGGATAAATCTATTAGGCACTAATGTAAACATGTACAGGTACCCATCGCAGGTAGAAAAGTTCACTATGACAGAGAAACGATGACGGACACATCTGAGGGTGCGCCCATTGGAAAATGCTGGATATGTTTCATTGTACTTCAGGAGTGATGGAAGTTCTGTCGAAACAACTTTCGACCAATTTTTTATTAAAGGTCCACGATTATTCGTGTACTTTTAAGAACACTCAATATCAACTCATAATAATCAATCAATTATTCAGTTAAATAATTCACAAGCGGAAAATCTATAGTAGAAAATAGCTTCTGATTAATTAATTAAAATAAAATATAATGATGTAGTTAGCTACTTAGTTAATTATGAATTCGTCAGCAAACGACTTTGAGGCTATTCCATGCTGTAAATAGAAGAAATAATAGAACTGGTCGCTTCTTCATAAGGGCAGAGGTAAAAAATTGGTCTAAAGAGTTTAGACAGTACTTCCCTCGCTGTCGGAAACTTGACGACTGCATGCCTATTGTGTTTTTTTTTTCTCATTACATTTTTGTAGTGGGAATTTAAAAAAAAATTGTGATGACGTCATCAACATTTTTGCAAGGACACGTATATCAGTTGGGATAGATGTAGTGTAATACTAAGAATAAAATTATTGTATTCCCAAATTTTCGGGAAAATGAATTGGGTCGTTTTGAATATTGATTTCTTATAATCAATAAAATAACGAAACAATTTACTCACGTATACGGCGCCGGTGTGTAATATCTAGAGAGCGGATTTCTGTCGGACTAGGCAAGGCCAAACTCGGTACGGTTCGTACGGGATGCGAATTCATTGCGGTTGCGGACTGCACTTCGTTTATTTGAGATTAGAATAACGCAGTTTTGTTGCACTCTGCTGTTAATTCCCGTTCTCATTTACTTAGCCGTTTGATTAATAAATCGTTAATTATATTTATGGAATTAGTACCGATTAAATTTAGTGATTATCTATCACCCGGCGATCCAGCACGTCCCCCCCTATAATCGTGACGTAGCCCGACAAAAATCCGCTGTCTGGTAATATGAAAGGCAACTGAAAATCGTTTATGTATAAACATTCTTAATTTAAGATGACAAGCGTAACAGCATACGTGAGAGTCAAACAGAGAAACTGCAAACAAAACGACCATCGGTTTTATTGCTTCGACTTCCGCTTATTATATAAAACATTGGGTTTTATTTTAATTCTTGACGGTGAAATTCACAATTGGTTGATTATAAACATGTCTATTCTACATTCGCGGAACCAAGTGAGCGCATAAAACAAATGCAGGCCTGTAATGTTAAAGTCGATGTAAATAAGCGTGCTACCCTTATGTTTCAACCGAGTTTTTCCTTTAACAAATTTTGTGTCTACCAAATTGGGTTGGTTGGGGTGTAATACTAATAATAAGTATTGCCTTTAATTTAATCAATAAAATAAATTGACTTCATTAATTTTTTTGAACCACCTCTTAAGAAAATCTAAAAAATATGAATGGAATGATAAATTACAAGTACAAACTCATCATATTTTTTGCATTTTAGATAGGATTTATTCAGCAAAATTTAAGGGTGACGTCATCAATTTTTTTAGGAGGGATGAACAAATACATTTTGAACAAAAGTTTACCATGCTTATAATAACTTTAAAATATTCCCAAGATTTCAAAGCATTCGGTTTTGTAATTCCTGATTAAATCGATAAAATAAATTCACGCCTTCATTAATTTTTTTGAGTCACCCTGCATATGCAAATCCAAAAATATGAATGGAATGATAAATCACAAGTACAGACTCATCATATTTTTACAGTTTAGATAGGATTTATTCGGCAAACTTTCGAGCTGACGTCATCAATTTTTTGGAGGGGATAAGCAAATATCTTTTGACTAAAAATTTATTATGCTCTTTATAACCTTAAAACATCTGCAAGATTTCAAAGCATTCGGTTTTGTAGTTCCTGATTAAATCAATAAAATAAATTTACGCATTCATTAATTTTTTTGAGTCACCCTGTATATGCAAATCGAAAAAATTTGAATGGAATGATAAATCACAAGTACAGACTCATCATATTTTGTACATTTTAGATAGGATTTATTCAGCAAAATTTTGTGGTGACGTCATAAATTTTTTAGGGGGGACAACCAAATACATTTTGATCAAAAATTTACCATGCTTATGATAATTTTAAAATATCTTCAAGATTTCGAAGCATTCGGTTTTGTAGTTCCTGAGTAAATCAGTAAAATAAATTTACGCTTTCATTTATTTTCTTGAATCACTCTGTATATGCAAATCCAAAAAATATGAATGGAGTGATAGATCACAAGTACAGACTGATCATATTTTGTACATTTTAGATATGATTTATTCGGCAAATTTTCGAGCTGACGTCATCAAGTTTTTGGAGGGGATAAGCAAATATATTTTGACTAAACATTTATTATGCTCTTTATAACCTTAAAACATCTGCAAGATGTCAGAGCATTCCGTTTTGTAGTTCCTGATTAAATCAATAAAATATATTTACGCATTCATTAATTTTTTTGAGTCACTCTGTATATGCAAATCCAAAAAATATGGATGGAGTGATAAATGACAAGTACAGACTCATCATATTTTGTACATTTTAGATATGATTTATTCGGCAAACTTTCGAGCTGACGTCATCAAGTTTTAGAAGGGGATAAGCAAATATATTTTGACTAAACATTTATTATGCTCTTTATGACCTTAAAACACATGCAAGATTTCAGAGCATTCGGTTTTGTAGTTCCTGATTAAATCAATAAAATATATTTACGCATTCATTAATTTTTTTGAGTCACCCTGTATATGCAAATCCAAAAAATATGAATGGAGTGATAAATTACAAGTACAGACTCATCATATTTTTACAGTTTAGATAGGATTTATTCGGCAAACTTTCGAGCTGACGTCATCAATTTTTTGGAGGGGATAAGCAAATATATTTTGACTAAACATTTATTATGCTCTTTATGACCCTAAAACATCTGCAAGATTTCAGAGCATTCGGTTTTGTAGTTCCTGATTAAATCAATAAAATATATTTACGCATTCATTAATTTTTTTGAGTCACCCTGTATATGCAAATCCAAAAAATATCAATGGAGTGATAAATTACAAGTACAGACTCATCATATTTTGTACATTTTAGATATGATTTATTCCACAAACTTTTGAGCTGACGTCATCAAGTTTTTGGAGGGGATAAGCAAATATTTTTTGACTAAAGATTTATGATGCTCTTTATAGCCTTAAAACATCTGCAACATTTCAAAGCATTCTGGTTAGCAGATTAAAAATTAAATTTCAAAATGTTGTTTTATAATTTTGATTTTTTTTCCAAAAATCTGGACGTTTCGGGTGAAAAGTCGATTCAGAGTTGTAAACTACATGTGTAGGACTATGTTATTTTATACAATTGAAAACCCATTTACTATGTACAATTTTGAAGTGACGTCATCGCATTAGTGGTGGGGATGATTATACAAATTTTGGTTAGCGTTTTACCATCTACATGATATTCTTAATATAAGTACAAAATTTCACAACAATCGGTCGAGTACTTTCGGAGATTATCTGTCTAATAAAAATCCGGGACGGACAGACAGACGGACGGACAGACGGACGGACAGACGGACAGACGGACAGACGGACAGACGGACAGACGGACAGACAGACGGAAATGGGAGACCTATTTCTTCGTCTTCTAGGGGTCATGAAAGATCGAGAAAGCGTAAAAGTAGAAAGTCGACCGACGGACTCGATTACAATACTTCCTTTGCTGAAGTAAAAATATTAATAAAATAATATTCTTATGTAGTACCCGTTTATTAATTTTTGTTTATTTTTCAAGCATCTTATAAAACAATCTGCAACTAGTTATTACTTTAAATACAACTAAGAATTCAAATTTAAATACATCTTCTTATGTTAAAAAAATTGAATCAGCATAAATATGCAGTTAAATAATGGCAAAATTAACACCATCACGTTGAGATTTAAACAAAATATCTATGGCATTTATATCAATTCTGTTAAACCATTTTGCACTCCACTTGAAGCTTAAATTCTTCTGTAGAAACCAGAACAAATTTTTTATGCTTTTTATTTTATTAAGCGTTGTATTAAAATAAGAAAGAATTAATTTAAACCACATTTATTTTTAAAAATATATATCAATAATAATATCCGAAATTCCGTATGTAGAATTAATCCCTGGAGTAGTAAACATCACTCCCTACACTTCCAAACTGGAATAAAATCACCAGAAATGTCGTAATAGACCCACCAATCTTCAAAACAATCACTTTATCTCAATTATAAATCATAACTCACCAATACTGACCGCTGTCAACAGCGATCGATTAATCTTCATCATCGAAAATGATGTAAACCTAACTTTTCTTCCCGACAACTGCAAGGCAAAAACTTTCAACTGATCTTTAACATCCTCTTGCAATTCGCATGATAAAAGTTTGAACACCAAATCGACAGTTTTTTGATGCTAAAATAACCCTATCAAAAATTGATATCCACATTTGATAAATTAACCTCATCCAGACAGTACTGACAAGTTTCCACTATGACCATCAGGCGTCCACAGTGCAACATCGTCCACGAAAACTGCAAGAAAATAAAAATAAAGTAACCGTTGTTTGCTACCTCGACAAGGAGAAAGTACGGAGTGACGACGAGATGAAGGAGACAACTGAACATTATAAACTAGAAGAAGAACATCAGAAGATTTTGACAAGTCATTTTCTGAAGACTTATACCAAAATGCTGACGCCACAAAAATCGTTCGTAGCATCGACGGAATCTCCAATGAGTTCATAGACCTTCATGAGATTGACAACGCGTTGGTGGCTGAGAACTGGAAAACTAGCAATTTGATAAATCGTCAAACCACCAAACAACTTACTTCCGAAGTTTGACGAGTTTGATTTCTTGTTAGTTTTGATAGGCGTGATCCATAATTTTGTCAATGATTTAAAAATCTCCAAACCTATGGAAACATATAGTGTTCAATAATAAGATTGTCAAAATGTCTCACCTGCGTCAAGAGCGTGGTTCAAGGCTTCTATTCTTTTTCGTATAAGTCTGGTAAAGTTCCAGTATGGCATCTCTTGAATGAAAACCATGAAGTATGTAGAAAATAAAATGAAATATCTCTTCATAAAAACCCACAATAATCCACTTCTGTTAGAAATTTCTCCCCACAAATACAGTTCATACGTGAGGACAAACAAAACACACCCTATAGCTATCAAAATACAAATGATAGTATGTCTTTGTTCCTCTTTAATTTTTTTCTGTGGTAGCACATTATCAATTTTGTGAAAGCAGTCCAAGATCTTCCACAGATGCTTAAGTTTGAAAGGAGTAGCAACAATTCCAATAAATACAGTGACAATAACTTCCCCTAAGTCAATCAGAGTGACATATTTCACCGTGGTGTTACCCATTCTAACCGAATTACTTTGATGAAAGTCCTCATGGAGACCATTCATTGACACAAACACTGAAACACACCCATGAAAAAACAATCAACCAAAACAAGAAATCTACTCATAAATAATCCCAAAAGATAACTATAAATTGTATAACCGATCGACCATTCCGCAACAAACCCCAACACCTTCTTTTTGCACACGATGGGCATAAACCCAAAAGCCCTCGTTACAAAAATAAAAGGTTGCAGGACTTCGTACAAATCGGAAGTGACAGCAACTTCTCTCTTTTTGGTGGCCGTTCGAATAGCCATTTCGTCAAAAATGACAAATTAGTCCCTTGTGTTTATTTTTTCTTTATTAATAATGTTTAATCGTAAACACATGAATTGTTTATGGAAATCTGCACAGGGTAGTCATTAGTAGCGTTTACACGAAGCGAATTTAACGAGATCGGATGATAAATGTCCTGTTTACAGTTTGTCATATTTCCCATGATTGCTTTTTTACGATGTAATTGCTAAGCGCTGCTAAACTGTATAAAAATAATCAGGAAAGTTGTGATCGTGCTGATAATCTGAAATTGGAAGACAATTGATTAATGGGTGACAAATGGGGAAGTATTACCGTGGTGAGGAGGGAGCGGTTGATGCGAGGGATAGCAAACGATGAGAATCTTAGCTTCTTCTGGGTTAATTTTAAGGCAAAGTTCTTCAGCTGGAAAAAAGTTGAAAAGTCACAGTTAATTCGCTGTGCTGAAAGTTTCAAGGTAGTTGAGGTACATAGTAGGAAAATAATATATACAATTAAAACTGCACAGATTGATCAAAATTGTTGACTTCGTGACCATGCAATGCTTGTCTGCCCTCACTCTTCTACTCTATAAGAACAAATAAAGAAAACTGGGCAGAAGCCAACCATCCACACTGAACACTCCATAGGAATATTTCTAGACTAATTGATTACTTCATTTTTCAAAATGTCAGTTTTAAACAAAACTATGAATTCCTTGAATATCTTCACGACTTTATTCTACTTTATTTTACGAGCTACTACAGAATCTTTGGCAGCTTGAGTTGGATATGTAAAAGATTTTCGTGCAGAGGTTACTGAAATTTATTTCTAATCCTTGAAAGTGGGAATAGTAAATAAGAGCAAGTATATTTTCTCACATATTCTTTGTGAAAAGTGGAAAGTTAAAAGCCGTAGTTCTTAAATTTAAACCTTTTATGTTCTTATCTACTATACCTACGTTTTATTTAAAAGTAAGACAAAGAGTCTCTTGAACAGAAAACTGAAGCTTGTAATTTTTTTGTTGATGATATTAATGGAAATTATCAGTGCCATGGTGGAGAATGGAGTGTTTTTCTCCTAGTTTAATTTAGAGCTATCATTTTTTAAAATTTATTTATTTCTGTACGTTATATATTTATTTTGTTGACAACGGCGAAAACTTTATCCACTTATCACCATTTTATTGAAAAATATTCAAGCTTTTTCAACCGACTCAAGTAAAAATAAATAACGCAAACAATGAATTTTCTCATGCTATTGGAAAAACTGTCTACCTATTGTGTTGGAAAATGTTATTTAATAACATGGTATTATTATCCATATTTCGTGATTATTTGTTAATATATTGTTCTAGCGGGTATGATGGACAGAATAAGATTTGTTTTTCAACTAGTTTAGGTGACATTTATTTTGTCACCTTTATCAAGACCCATAAAATAAACATTGTAGATATAATTGTATCCACAATCAACGAATTTTATGATGTCCCATATACCCCTTATACTAATATAATAGGAGTAATAAATATCGGGCCAGCAACATGATATGTAATTGAGGCATCCTTGGAATTGAATCTTCTATGAAATAATACATATGTGTCTAAAATTTGTAACAAAATTAATTTTTTAAAATTGATTTTTAATTTGGATTTAAATCTCGTTGTGACTTCAAAGAACTGTCACAAAAAACGTTCCTTCTAACCATACTTTTGGTGTTTTCTTGCTTGCTGTGGCCTCCTCGAGAAATAATATTTACGTTAAAAATAGTTATTCTCAGAACTTTATTTGAATATTTGCGTATTATTCTGGAAAAGCTGCTTCCTAGAAGAGAGTTGTTACCTTTTAGCAATTTGATTTCACTAAATTGTTAAGTAACAGCATTTTCGTTAAAATAAAAGTTTCTCAGATAAATCTAAACCACACGATAAAGATAATGAAGCAGCTCCCTATCGAACACAATTTTCCAAGCAATATTGCGAAAAGATTTAGTACTGTTTCCTTATCGATTAACATGGATGCAAGATTTACAAGTAGGTACAAAAAGCCGATTTTCCAGCTAGGGTTGACTATTGTCACTGGTTTCTGAATATAAATATTTGATGACCGGCTATTGAAGAAAACCTTTTTACAAACAAAGCATGATTTCATTTGAGTGGCTACATTAATAGTTCTCAAAATATGTGAATATAGATCACCTAGAATCCACATCTTTATGTTGAGACTTTCCTTCATTCCAAAAAAAATGGTGTTGGGATTCTAATTAGTCAACAACGGATAGTAGGGCTTCTTCTCTGATTAACTCTTTTATTCAATGTAATCCTCCTCAAGGTAACCTAACCGGTACTAGATATCAGCAAGAAATTTTTGCAGATTTTATACCACAACTGTACCACGATGAAATGGAAGTAGATTGTTTTCAACAAGACGGGGCTACAGCGCATTCGGCTAAGACCACAACAGCAACATTACAGTAATTTTTTGACAACCGGATTGTGACGGCCCATCATAAAATCAGTTCACGAGATGCAAATTGAAAAAACCGAAAAATTTACGAGTTAACCTGACACCGAATTCGCGTAAATCCGGCAGAGACGAAATCCTATTCAGACCAAACTAAACCTTATACAAAATAAGACCTAAAATCGCCTCCCAGGCAAACTATATTTGAAACCTTTTTATTGCTCTCTAATGTCACGGGAGGCTGAATTTTGAAGAAATCCGGAAAAATTTGCTCGCTCTCGCTACCCTGTGGTGTTCTCGACTTCGGCCGCACCTATTAAGCGTTTAATTTATGCGTTTTTTGTCGCAGATTTTCGATAGTTTGGTGTTTGGAATTTTTAGCGTTAACAGATATTCTCGTTTGCGGGCGGTACTCTTGGCCTTCTATTCAATTTTAACTTACTAAACCGCCTTATTATATAAATATAAATGTAAATTTCTGAATAAACATGTGTGAGAATCTATCATTATTGTATTTTTTGACTTCAATTTGTTGCCAAGGAAAAATACTAAAAAACCCGATTTTGAATTTGCAATTTTAATTCAAACGCGTGGAATAGATTTAGGCATTTTTAAAATGAAACACTTTTATACAGCGTGTTATTGAAAGGTACGTACAAAATAAAATCGGCAATTGGTCTCAAAGTATGGGTGCTAAAAGTTAAAAAAAGTTCAGGTAAAAGTGTTCTCCTTTTAGAGATAAAAATTATTAAAATTTATGTCCAAATTCGCTGTACGCCTCTGATAAAAAGATCATCTCTCGTTTCTATAGCTTAATCTTTAGTTTTGACAAAAGTTGTATTGTTACGGTTGCTAGGATTTAATTAATTTTACCTATTTATCCTTTAGTAGCGTCTAAAAAGGTTGGATACGGGTTAATTTTCCCTTTATAATTTTGACAACACAAAATAAGTTTTTCAGACTTCTTAGACTTCACGAAGAACTGTCAATTTTGTTGTACGTACCTTTCAATAACACCCTGTATATAAGGAGCTCTTAAACCGTCTCCTTAGTTATCTTTCGTTCTAACTAAACTTCTACCTCCGTTAAAATATAATTTACCTCTTTCTTGGTCTCCTCCCGTATAGGCGCCGTTAAAAGACGAAAAACTAGATTAAAAGTAACCTGATTTTCACGTTCACACCTATGACACATTTCCAGGATGATACCCAACCTGCCTAAATGGATACTTATCCACAGCAACTGCATTAAACCATAAGCAACATTACCAGATTTTCTGATAGCGGCATACAACATATACAAATCTGTAACCAGTCGTAGAAAACAACTCAAAATAACAAGCTAAAACAAAATGCTCAGAGAAAATCAAAATATCTATAACACACCAACAGAGACTTTAACGTTGAACAGACTGTTGATTCTGTCGCAAACATCATGAATGTGACCGTGGGCTTTAATCACTTTGAAAACTACTTCATCATCATCACCTTCAAAAATTTAACATTATTTGACTAGACAATGAAACTATAACATTTCACCAACCATGCTGAAACTAGTTAGAAAACTAACTTTTTGACTAGATGCTGCCAACGTAGTTGGCGAAATGCGTCGACAAATATTTTGTGTGTTTTGGGTGTTGAAAAAAAATAGTGAAAAAATTACGTACCATTTTTATGTACACAACGTTCTAACATTCTGTTCAGCAGTTTCATTCTTCTCTCAACAAAAAAAACCAGCTGCCAGTACGACATTTGAAAACCAAACATTATTACATAGAAGGGATAGAAAGGATATTCTTTCAAGGGTACTTTATCCAAGTCTTTATTATCGGTGAACCTGTCAAAACCCATGCCAAACAAAAAAGCACATGTTACCACAGTACCAAACACCAGTGTACATTTTCTGTCACTTTTAGGATTCACTGGGGGAATCACGGAATCGATTCTATCAAACCCTTCGAGAACAGAAAGTGTCATCTTGAAACAGAAAGCTTGCGACAGAACAAAGTAGAACCCGAACATTTCCAGCTCGCAAAAATCGTAGATGGCGAAATAGTTGCTTGTGCAACTTTGTCTATTTTCATTAAGGAAAACCCATAAACCATAGAATGCAAAAATTACTACAATTTTTTTTAGAATATGTTTGTAGTGTAATTACACTTACTGAAAAACGTGACAACAACACAGCCACAAATGTAAAAAGACCACGACCATTTTAAATTGTACGATTTCGAGGTTTTTTGGTAGACGAGAGGGTTTAAACCTATCATTCGTGTTATTAGAAAAATGGGTTGGTAAGAGTGAAAAAATTTTGAATTTACGGTTATAATGTGAGCAAACATTTTGGTGAAATGATAAACTGTTTTGGAATGAGTTATGTAAAAGCAATTGTGTTAATAGAAGAAATAATTATTGGTTGCTTGATTTATTTCCGCCTATTACTGGTAATGGGTATTGATGAGTAGTCAATCAGATGAGAATTAAATTGTTGTTAAATGCTATTGACGGGTTTTATCGCGACTGAAGAAAAAATAAATAGAGAATAAAAAATAAATGGTGGATAATAATGTATTTCTTGTAATCAATATACAAGCTTCATTATATTAGTGTTATTGTTACTATTGTTACTACTGCTATTATTTATTGTTATAAAAAAATATAAAAAAAAACATAAGGCATGGGAAAGTTAAGTAAAAATCGTCTATTTTAATTTTTGTATTGTTTACTACACACAGCGGAAGTCGCAAAACCATTTAAATTTAAAAAAAAACATATAAATCTACTCAATTTTTACTAAAGTTAAAAAATTTAGGAAAAATAAAAATATAACAATATTTAAAAAACTGATCTAAAATTATTTAGTTGGTAATTCCCTCGTCCGTAAAGTACCATCAAACGTAAAGTATCACCAAAAGAATTTGTATTTTGTAAAACTTTAGAGTTCTACTGCTACATTTTAAGCAACAACAGTCCAACCAGAGAAACCATTTTCAAATTGTGAAGGGTAGCGCGAGCCAGCTACGTCGATCAAAATTTCAACCGAACTAAAGTAATTATTAGGACCCTGGCGTTACTAGACCCATTCATGTTTGATGGATTTATAACACCGGAGCTGGAATTTAATTATTATTAACGTTAAAATCGTAAAAGTTTACGGGGATCCAAATTTTTGCGACTATTGTACTTCGTAACACTGGCCCGTGCTGATCCGAAACATTCCAACTTTGTGTTGTGCCTTTCACTTGACCTTTAATTTCTGCTATTTCTTCTTTGTTACTACTTCCGTTCGTACTGTTTCGGTTAGGCTAATGTCATTTTTTGCCTATCTATTTTTGAGTGCATCTTTGCGTATCTTTCTTTATTCTGGGTTTCAAATAAGGCATCATCTGTTTTATTTGTTCGTCCATTGCTGCAGTTTGAGCTCTAGTCTTGACAGGCTTAAACCTTCAAAATTCTACAAAACTTTTCCAATCCAATCCAATCTTCAATCCCACTGCTGACACCAGTGTTACGTTTCACGGCGATTAAATTGGTGTAGATCAAAATTCAACGATTATTTATTGTTAACACAACACTACACGTATCACCAATCATGCAAGCAATAATTCCATTGTCTACAAAAAGTCCGATATTTTCGTATTGCTCAAACCGTAAAATGTGAAGAAAACAAAATTAGCCATTTGTCCAATAGACCCTGTTGAAATATTTTTCTAGCTCACAGTCGGAAGCAAAAATAATTATGATGTACCACAGACACACATATATTTAGGATTTTTGATAATCTTCTAGTGTGAGTTTTCATAGTTTGGTCCACTATATACAATACAAGAAACGTTTATGATCTAAATGATGGCTCTGAGTATGTAAATTTCAGAAATATTTTTTTTTATTAATTAATACTGCACTTAATCGGAATAATTATGATAGTTTTCTTCTCATTTCTCAGTTTTTTTCTTAGGTGTGCCATTACATCAGCATAATACAATACACTTTTTAAATACCTTTACGAACATAATTTGTTAAGATAAACTTTTCATAATTTTCTAATGGAAACACAGTTCGTGCGTCATGTTTAACTACAATACCTGAATTTCATTTGCAATGAACGATTAAAGTATGAGATCCAAAGTTTCTCAGTCGGTGTAATTCTTCAATTTGCTTTTGGATTGGATACTGCCTATAGATCTTCAGGAACTCGAGACAAATAAATATCTGCATGTTAGTTTTTCGAAATGAATTCCAAAATCCTGGTACCTAAAAATTCGTAAGTAATCTATTCATTCTACAGTGTCGTTATACTACTCCGCTCAAGAGAATTAGCAAGATATTCGCCCTTTTTGGACAAAATTCTAGTAACAAAATATGCACCTGTACTAACTATGACTAATGTAATTAAATTACTCAGAGTTTTTATAAGAGCGTTTCAGAAAATACAGCAAACTTTAGTTTCATAAAAATGTATAAAATTACTTAAAAATTAAGACATTCGTCTAGAACGTATTCCGTAACTCTCCTTCAATTATTTCGAAAAAAAAACTAAGCCGGCTTCTTCGTAAGAACTTTCTATAGAGGTAGCTAAAAGAGGCGAATAAACAAACAAAATGAATATAAATAAAAGCAATCAGAGACAAGATTAAAATTAGACATAGATCAATTATTTCGAAAAAAAAACTAAGCCGGCTTCTTCGTAAGAACTTTCTATAGAGGTAGCTAAAAGAGGCGAATAAACAAACAAAATGAATATAAATAAAAGCAATCAGAGACAAGATTAAAATTAGACATGAACTAGGAAGACTGCTAATTGTATAAAAAAGTTAATTCACGGAGAAAATGAAGAAAAAAAAAGTTGAAGCTAATAATATACAATTACAACAAGATTCTGTCAGTGAGATCGCTTTCTAATTTCTTTTTAATAATTTTATTTTTTCGCTCTGTAGTGCTCACTTATACTCTAAAAACAGTTACGACTATAACCGAAAATAGAGATGTAAAAGAGAGTCCAGAATCAATATACATTCTCAACTTCCAGCAGCAAGTACCTAAAATTTTAACCCCAAAATTACAACCTCATCAAACGTCATACGAATTTGTTACCTGCTCACTGTAAAACCCCACATCGTTTTACCTTAATTCCAACCACCACTTCTAAAAAGTTCACCTTTGTAAAAATATAATATCCAATAATTATAATTATAACAGTGCTTAAAATAATAATATTACTACAAAAATTTCTCAAAAATGTTTTAATTGTATCGATGTTAATATATATTTATCTTTTTATAAATGCCTTAAGCATTTCAATCGGTATTGGAAATACGATGGTGGAAGCTCTTTCACTAGCAATGTTAGTCAAAGTTTGCAAATACCTCAACTACAAAAAGCAGTGACTACCAGTACCAAAACTGCAAAGTAAAAATACCTGCAAAGCAGTTGGTGACTCCACTATAACATCTGCAGCCTGTTTTAGTGCTTTAGATGCCTTTAATTCACCTTCGGCTGCTATTATTTTCGCTTTAGCTTCTCGAGTAGCTTCAGCTTCAGCTGCCATGGCTTTTTGCAGCTGTTGTGGCAATCTAACATCTGTTCTACAATAAAACATTGAGTAAGAAAGCATATGAATATTAAAAAGTACATTTCCACTCTTTCGACTTTGACTCCCCACGGACCTGTCGCTTTATCTAATATTACTGCAATTTTTTGAGCAATAGAATCACGATCGGCTAAAACTTCTGCCAAACTTTTCGTTCCTATGATGTTTCGTAGTGTTGTCATAGCAAGAAGACTTGTAGAGGTACTAGAACATGCTTTTTAGTGAAAATACTTCAAGTTCAAGTTTAGTTGTACCTATAATTAACTACTGCAGTGACGGCAAGTAGTGGTTTTACCACCTTGTAATAAACCACAGCATCAACCCATATCGTGACAGAATCTTTAGTTAAACCCTACAGATAAATTGGATTAAAATATCTACGAAGAAGCCTGCCGTGGTACCTCTTGAGCTGGTACGTCGAAGTGATTAGTTCTTAAATCGACGTTGACATATTCATCCACACAAGGGAGAATGAAAAAGAGTCCAGGACCTCTAGCTTCGCCAGATCGGAGTTTTCCTAGACGAAAAATGACTGCTCGCTCGTATTCTGCGACTATCTAGAAATTTTTTTCGCATTAGGGTTCTGTATACAAAAGTCTTTTTTTATCTTATCATCTTTACTTTAAGGCACACACACAGGGAAAACGGGAATGTTATGCAGCAAAGTAGAAATGACATCGACACTAAAAAAATTTCGACACATCTCATATTTTAATTTTGTTGAAAGTGGACCACATTTATATAATTTTATAACTATTTCTCATATTAGAACAATGACATTGACAATGACAAACATTAAAATCAAAATCATCATTCCGTGACAGTACGCTGTATGATTTCCGACAAAATCAGTCAAAAAAGAAACCAAAACAAAAATCAGTTACGTCATTACCACTTCATTCCAAAGTTCTCAATGAAACAACGTTACAATATATGTGCCTTCAACGACTAGACAGTTGGTATTGTAGAAAATGTAAAGTAGCAAAACTTAAATTTTTATCTCTAATTCTCCCAAGACTCGTGGTTTAAATATATATTTTAAAATTCAAAATTCGAGTGGCATTCAACTAGACAGCCTTTATAAAATCCAAAAGAATCCATCTGGCGGTAAAAACAGCATGACGAGCTATCATACAGAAATATACGCCAGAACTATGCACAAATATGAAGTCAATTCCGACATCCACACTATTATACATTAACAAACCTGCTGTCAAACTCTAGAACAGCTCCAATTTTCAGCTTCCACTTCTTTTCTATTTCCATTTATTTAATATGCTGTACAAGGTACAGAGGAGGTACACACGAAAATACAAATTTAAATTGATTTAAAGTAAATGAGTAAAAAAAATTGTTGAACACCTCTCACGTTCTCATGGAGATAGGATGACAGGAGGGAGCAAGCGCGAAAAAACCAACAATTGGTACATCTTTTCAAATATCAAACAGTACTATCTAAAGTATCAGACTAAGTATTAACCTTACCACTAACAAAACCTGTTAAATACTTTTACTAGGATCATACATATAGGACTTTAATTATTAATCATAACTAGAGATCGGACCCGTAGAATAACCTTCAAGTCGTGTCCTCGCTGCATTTAATGAAACTTAAGTTGCAATTTAAGTAACTACGCCTAAATTAACACTATGTACCTTCACAATTATTACCCTATCACATTTGTTACATAAAACTAAGTTTGAAATGCCATGATCTTTGCGTTCCATATGTAAAGTGTAGAATGAAGACCGTTAATTGAATTACATGAATTTGAAGGTACATCTACATCATTGAATTTGCAGTATTTGATCATAACCTTCCACAATCCACGTTGTTGTCTAAACAATTAGGTAAAATACCTACTGAAAGCCAATAACCAACCCAAAAATATACTTCATAAATTCATACCACAACGCTTTAATTTTGTCAAAGTTAATAAGTACTCATCTACCCATAAAGGCTCTAAGCATTTCAATTGGAACAGGAAACACGATGGTCGAAGTTCTTTCTCCAGATATGTTAGTCAAGGTTTGCAGATACCTCAACTACAAAGAACAATTCACCTGTAAGCTACAAAAAAAACATATAACAGTACCTGTAGAGCAGTCGGAGACCCAACTATCACATCTGCAGCCTCTTTCAAAGCTTTAGAAGCCTTTAGTTCACCTTCAGCTGCTATAATTTTAGCTCTAGCTTCTCGTGTAGCTTCAGCTTCAGCCGCCATGGCTTTTTGCAACTGTTGGGGTAGTCTAACATCTGTTCTATAAAAAAACACTCAATAAATAACCACACTAGTAACAAAGATTACATTTCAACTCTTTCGACTTTCACTCCCCACGGATCTGTAGCCTGATCTAATATTGCTGCGATTCTTTGAGCAATAATATCGCGGTCTGCTAGGACTTCTGCTAAACTTCTCGTCCCTATAATGTTTCGCAGGGTTGTCATAGCAAGAAGACTCGTGGAAGTGCTGGAAAATGTATTTTAGCAAAGGTACTTTCTGTTTGGTCATACCTATAATTCACTACTGCAACTACAGCACGTAGAGGTTGTACCACTTTATAGTAGACCACGGCATCGACCCATACAGTAACCGAATCTTTCGTTAATGTCTACGGAGAAATTATACCAGGGTTTTTGCAAAGAAGTATATAGATTTTACCTCTTGTGGCGGTATGTCGAAGTGAGTGGTTCTCAAATCGACATTAATATATTCATCCACACAAGGCAGAATGAAAAAGAGTCCAGGACCTCTAGCTTCGCCGGCTCGGAGTTTTCCCAGACGGAAAATGACCGCTCGTTCGTATTCTGAGACTATCTACAAGTTTTAATTAGCATGCAGATTCTGTAGAGAGAAATCTTACTTTAAGGCACACACAGAGAGAAAACGGAAATGTTATGAGAAAAAGAAAGAATGAAACAGACACTAAAAAAATTTCGACACATCTCATATTTCAATTTTGTTGAAAACGGACCACATTTATGAAATTTTACACACTATTTTTCAAGTTAAGACAGTGACATTGACAATGGCAGACAGTACAAGGGAAATTCAGTAAAAAATTCAAAGCATTACAATTGCTATTTTTTGCTAAGCAACTCCTTTGTGAGGATTTTTTAAAAGATTTGTTGCACCATGAATTATGATGGTGACCATCTACTAACAGTGGCATAAAAATAAGTCATGTGTAAAAGCTTCGTTTGCATTGATTGACAACAAAGTAACAAGAGGAAATCGGATACACTTGATGTAATGGATCTTATAAATACGATTTTGAAGTCGAATTTTATCACTAAATTTAATTAATGAGAACCACAATAATAATATAGTGCTTTTTTATACTTAGTGTTTATAATTTTCTGTACACCATGTATTAATAATAATAATAATAATTTATTCACCATTAAATTTGAAGCTTTTTAACAGTTTCAGATTTTAAGGCTAGTCAAAATTACAATAATAACATACATCTTAAGTTACAATAGACAATTAAAACCGATGTCCTAGAAATTCATCCACAGAGTAGTAGCATTTCTTCAGTAGCAAATATTTTGTTTTATCTTTGAATAATCTTTCGGACTGTTGTTGCTTTAATTCATGTGGCAGCCTATTAAATCTATATATATAAAAATGGATGTTGGTATATATATCTGTGATCGATAGACTCCGAAATCGTTTGACCGATCACCATGAAATTTGGCACATGTAAGTGGTTTTTCATGGAGAAGGTTTTTGTGGTATCCGCTTTGCTGTAACTAGCCACTAGATGGCGCTACAGCACATCAACTTCTACACCGTTCAACCGATTTTCATAAAAATTGATACACGTTGCCATTTGACTATGGAGAATATTTTCGCCCTATCCATTTTGCTGTAACTCGCCACTAGATGGCGCTGCAACACATCAACTTCTGTACCAATCAACCGATCCTCATGAAAATTGATATACGTTGGTATTTGACCATGGAGAATATTTTCGCGCTATCGATTTTGCTGTAAATTGCCACTAGATGGCACTGCAGCACATCAACCTCTCTGTTAAAGTATTATGAACTTAGAGAATCAGCGGCACCCATATATCTAATGCCCATTTGCACCAACGTTAGCAGTAAGCATTGCTTAGCTAAGCAATTCTTAAAAGTAACTACTTCTTAAATTGTACAGTTGTTGCACCGTCACTGCTTAGACTCTACTTAACCAAGTAATACTTAGTTGGGGAATTGTGTAAAAGTTTCATTTCTATTGGCAACACTGACGTTTGTTGTTATTGGAACATCAAAAATTTTAGGTTAGTTTGTTGTGTGTACGACAGTCAATGACACCGCGCGTATGTAGTTGTGATATTGTTGAATTAATTTTATGTGGTGTTGAATGTGTGTTTAAAAAATGGATGTGTTCGACGCGTACGAGGATGACTTAGAAGTCATTGAAATTGTTGAGATGGGAATTCCACGGCAGATGTACACTAGAGCTGATCATTTCTATGGTTTACCAGAGCTTCAATTTTTCCAAAGATTTCGACTAACAAAACCAACAGTTTTACATTTATTAACGTTAATTGAAGAACGTTTGGAATTTCCTACAGACAGGTAAAAGTGGTTAAAAAATTTAATGTGTAAATATATTATGATTTGATCATTACAGAAATCAGGCGGTGTCACCTATAAATCAGCTGCTTACTACATTACGATTCTTTGCAAGCGGGGGCCATTTGAGTACAGTAGCGGACTATATGGGAATGCACATCTCAACTGTGTCGAGAATAATTAGACGTGTATCGGACGCTATAGCAAGGCTTTACCACCATTTTATTAAGATGCCCCAAACTCTCATGGAGCAAAGGCTTATTCAAAATGGTTTTTTTGACATCGCGAGATTCCCAAGAGTGATTGGGGCCATTGATTGCACTCATATCAAAATTGAATCACCAGGTAAAGATTTAAAAAACCAAAAACACATTCTTTTCATTGGAACGTTTTTAAGGTGGAGAAAATGCTGAAGTTTTTCGCAATCGGAAAGATTATTTTTCAATTAACGTTCAAGCCATGTGTAATGCGAAGTTTTTAATATGTGTAAAAATACATTGCATTTGTTTTCAGGTGATGGTGGCTATGGTGTAAGACACTATTTTTTTACACCATTATTAAATCCACACACTCAAGAAGAGCAGTTGTATAATGAAGCTCATATTCGTACAAGAAATGTCATCGAAAGAACTTTTGGTGTCTGCAAACGAAGATTTCCTGTGCTAGCATATGGATGTCGATTAAAAAAAGAAACTGTTTTGAGTATTATAATTGCGTGTGCAGTCCTGCATAATATAGCTCGACAAATGGGTGAAGATGAACCTCCTCTCCCAGCTGACATTAACCAGCATGAACTGCAGCGACTTATTGAAGATGGTCAAATACCAGAGGTCAATGTTATTGACAACCAAAGGAGGGGCAGTGAAATTAGAAGAAATTTTATAACAAATTTTTTTGGAAATTTATAAATTTAACAAATAAATGTTTTATTAATATTTTATTTTATATTTTATTGTTTTTCCGTATTATCCTGTTTCAGTTTTCTTAGCTGCTCCTTTTTTATTTCAATATCTAGTTCTAAAATTTGCTTTCGAAGCAAAAATTCAACTTGCTTTCTTTCTTCGTCATGTTTTTGTCCTTCGAGTTGTGCCTCAACTAACTCCATTTTCTTTGTAGCTAGTTCGTCGTAAGTTTTCGACAAATGGCTGGAATGTAGTGCTGTTATTGTTGGCCTCCTCCTATTAATGACTGTTTGTAACTCCTTTGATTTCTTTTTTTTCAGGTGTTCAACTTTATAATCACCCCAGTCAGCTTTAAACTGCAATTAATTAATATATATAACAGATGATAACCAACACAGAAAAAGCTTACATTTGCATTTTCTTCCCCTTGGTCATATGTATCAGAAAACACTCGTTTTTTTGTTTTGTGAACCTCATCCATTGCTTCAGGTATGTGTGGAGAAGAGGTGGCAATGGGCACCACATTATCGTTTTCATGGTCTTCGTTATCTTCTTCACCTATAGTTTGCTATAAAAAAAAAAAATAAGACCAATTTTTATGATACTGTTCAACTTACAAATAATTCACTATCCCCGCCGTATTGAGTTTCCAGTCCATACACTGAATTCTCATCCATGGTGGCTAACGTTAGCTGCAGGTATGGATCCTCACATTTTGAAGATGAAGGACCACCTCCTGTTTTTCGCATAAACACTTTTTTATCGGCCACTTCTTTTCGCACTTCTTTTTTTTTATTTGTGTAAAATTTTTGTAATGAGGTTACACTCCTCATGGCACCGCTAGGACTACATGAATTAAATTTATTCGTTAGTTCTTCCCAGCACCGCTGCTTCTCCTTATTTGTAACAGCGTCCGTTTTTTTATTTTCTATAATATGACGCTGTTCACTGATTAATGTTAAGACAAAGGTCTTTTCATCTGCCGTAAAATTTGCTCCACGCTGGCGCTTTGTATTATTCATCTGAAAATAAAACATATGTACATAATTCTTTACAACAAAACGTTGTAATTGTGGTACATACCTTCTTTATATTATTTTTTGTCTTGTTAGAACTTTATTCCACACTTTTCACCGCTGATTACAAAACACTCACGAACGCTGCTACTGTTGAAAGGTTGAAATGGCAAATGGCTGAAATGATTGCAAAATTGCAAATTTTCGATTTCCAAAACCATCATCCAATAGAAACGAAGTATTGTTCCGTTACTATGGCTACCGCACATGCGTTGTATCGTTGTGTCTCGTTAAGCACTGCTTACAAATTTAAGCCACAGGTAAACGGGCACTTAAATTAAGGATTTCTTAGAAGGCTTTAAGAGAGAGTTAACCGTTGGTGCAACGCATTCTTAGTTTTAAGAAAAGCTTAAATTTTAAGTACCTGACTTAAACGTTGGTGCAAATGGGCATAATACTACTATATTGCTATCAGGCCTCAAAAAAGTCCGAAAACACAACGGGAGAGCAATATATCGGACCTCTTTGTCTCTCTATAGTACCAAACAGTACTGCTCATATACTCGTACTTGCTTGATTTTTAGTCGATAACGTGACTAGATGTGTTTTGACATTTTATACGTTCGCTTCTATTTTGTGTACATGCGCACAGACCCTCGGTACTTTTCTAGACAGAAAACAATATCTTCCGTCTTCCTTTGTCCGTGAACACCGTTTCTATGTTACTTCTGAAGAGTTAGCAAGTATTAGATATATGGCGGCACCAATGACAACATTGTTTTCGTTGGTATTACAACAAAAATCGTATTGACCGCAAAAGAAAATAATTATTAGTGATGTTCACCGTCTACAATCCTCAGTAATAACAAAGAGTGAATTACTAGAGATGATTGAAAATGCCACCCAAAAAATCAAACATTGGAAGATCAACCAGACATGCGCAGCAAGTGGCAGCCAGTAGAGCTGGTGAAACCTTTGAAATACGAAACACGCGACTGGAAACTGACCAGATCAGGGCCTCTACTTCAAGAATTGCCGAAACACCCGAAGAGCGAGACTCACGAATTGAAAACCTGCGGGTGCGAGCGTCTACGTCAAAAGCTACCGAAACATCTGAAGAGCGAGATGCACGAGTTGAAAACTTGCGAGTGCGAGCTTCTACGTCAAGAGCTGCCGAAACATCACAACAGCATGACGGACGTGTTGAAGATCTTGGAGCAAGAGCGTCTGCGTCAAGAGCTTCTGCAACACCAGAAGAGCGAGACACACGACGTGAAGCAGAACGCTCACGGCAGACTCGATCAAGAACAAGAATCGATCTCAAGAAAGCAGCGTTCAATTACGATATGACTACAAAAAAGATCGCGATGTTGTCATTGGTCCGATGACTAAATTGTGTCTACATTGTCGCGCTTTGAAGTTTCAAAAAGAAGCGCCTGGCATGTGTTGCTCCAATGGCAAAATCAGTTTGCTACCACTGACTGAACCACCAGAACCACTGCTCACTTACGTTGCTGGAGTTACTCGGGAGTCCAAACAGTTTCTACAGCATATTCGGAAATACAACTCATGCTTTCAGATGACATCGTTTGGAGCGACGAATATTGTGAGATATAATAATTTTATGCCCACATTTAAAGTGCAAGGACAAGTGTATCATCAGATTGGAACACTCCTTCCAGTATCCAAAGAAGATCCGCAATTTTTGCAAATTTATTTCATGGACAATGTGGAGAAGGAGATTGATCGACGATGCGCATTTAGTGTAGCAACATCGAAAGATTATTGCTGAATTACGAGCATTATTCCACGAGCACAACTGTTTGGTCCGAGATTTCAAATCCGCATTGGAGAATGTAAGAGCGATGACTTCAAACTCATTATCAGAGCAGACAAAACCCCATCGAATGAGCATGAAAGACGATTCAATGCTTCAATAGCCCCTGAAGTAGCAGCTGTAATTGTCGGTACAGAAATTACTCGGCGAGATATCGTTATCAGCAGGCGAAATCAAACCAAGCAACGTATTGCTGAAACACATCGATCGTACGACACACTTCAATATCCAATTCTATTTCCGCGAGGAGAAGACGGTTATCATCTCGAATTGTATCAAACTCATCCCGTCACAAGTGCTGCGACAACGAAAAAAGTCAGTTGTATGGATTTTTATGCATATCGCATCATGATTCGAGTCGAACAATCCAATCATATCTTAAACTGTCGTCATGTTTTTCAACAATTCATCGTTGATATGTACGCCAAAGTCGAAAGCGAACGACTCAATTACATTCGTTACAATCAATCGAAGCTTCGAGTCGAAGATTATATTCATTTGCGAGATGCAATCGCGAATGATGGAACAATTGGTAACATTGGACAAACGGTTATACTTCCAGCTTCGTATACTGGAAGTCCAAGACATATGCAAGAATATGCTCAGGATTCTCTGACATATGTTCGCAGATATGGACGTCCAGATCTTTTCATCACGTTCACATGCAATCCATCTTGGTGTGAATTCAAATATTTACTTTTGCGTGGCCAACAACCATCTGATCGGCATGACCTCACAGCGAGAGTTTTCAAACAAAAATTGATACGTGTTATGGATCTCATCACTAAGAACCATATATATGGAGAAACTCGCTGTTGGATGTATTCCATCGAATGGTAGAAAAGAGGTCTACCACATGCTCATATTTTAATTTGGTTGGTTGAAAAAATTGTTCCAACTCAAATTGATGATATCATTACTGCTGAGCTGCCCAACGCAGAAGAAGATCCAGAATTATTTGAAATTGTAAAAAAAAAGAGTCACGGACCATGTGGGGGACACAACCCACAGTCGCCATGCATGAAAGACGGAAAATGCACCAAAAAGTATCCACGCCAGCTGCTGCAAGAAACACAAACTGGTGGCGACGGTTATCCGTTGTACAGACGACGAAAACCAGATGATGGAGGATACACCACAACTATCAAAATCAATAACGTTGATTTCGAAGTTGATAATCGATGGATTGTGCCCTACTCTCCTATCCTTTCGAAATCATTCAATGCACATATCAACGTGGAGTCCTGTAATTCAGTTAAGTCAATAAAATACATATGTAAATACGTGAATAAAGGCAGCGAAATGGGAATTTTCGGAATTGCGAATCCCAATGCGCCCGTCAATGAAATCGAGCAATTTCATTCAAATGGGACGTTATATTAGCAGTAATGAAGCTGTATGGAGAATTCTTGGTTTCGACATTCATGAACGCTTTCCTGCTGTCATGCATCTCAGTGTTCACTTGGAAAACGGTCAACGAGTCTACTTCACGGAAGACAACGCACCCCAACGAGTTGCAGATCCACCAAATACAACGTTGACCGCGTTTTTCCAATTGTGTGCAACTGACGAATTCGCAAAAACATTAATGTATCACGAAGTCCCGCAGTACTACACTTGGAATCAATCGACGAAGAAATTTTGCAGAAGAAAACGAGGCGCCAGGCATTCTTCTATAGCTGGCATATTTTCTACTGGTGCACTAGGAAGAGTATATACTGTTCATCCAAATAATGGTGAATGCTACTATTTGCGAATGCTGCTTCACGTGGTCAAAGGGCCAACATCGTTTCAAGCAATCAAAACAATCGATGGTCAAGAGTGTGAGACATACAGAGAACCATGTTTTAAACTTGGTTTGCTTGAAAATGATCAACATTGGGACAACACATTAGCAGAAGCATCTGAGACACGTCAGGCCCATCAAATACGAACTCTGTTTGCCATAATTTTGACAACCTGCGCACCTTCTGATCCGAAAGGTTTATGGGAAAAACACAAAGAGAGTATGAGCGAAGACATACTTCTCCGAGCACGCAGAAATAATCCCGGCTTGGATGTACAGTATTCGGAAGACATTTTCAATGAAGCACTGATATCACTTGAGGATGTGTGTATGTCGATTAACAACAAAATCCTCAATCAGCTTGGGCTGTTTTCACCGGAACGTGACAGAAACGATGTTATCGATAGAGACGTATTACGAGAAAAACAATACGACGTCGATGCGCTACAAGTTTATGTTGAAACTCAGAAAAGGCTCTTAACAAACGATCAACGACTTGCATACGACACAATTATGCTCTCCAGACCATACACTTATATCCACATATATACAAAGTAAATGTATACACAAGCAGGACAACGTCTGCCGGGTTCCGCTAGTAATACATATAGTACCAATATATTTTGGATTATTTTGAGAAATTTTTAATCTAGCATATGGTTGATGCAGATTGTCCGAATTTCTCAAATCATATTCATAAATTTCCGAGTTTTTTGTGATTTTGTTTTTATTTTGATAAATATGCAACAAGAGATGCTGGATATATAAGCATGGCAGCGGTAGTATGTTATTTTTTTGGAAAAGTTGTTTGCATGGGTGGGTTTGGTGTACTCCTTCCATATATTACACAGCTCTTTTTTGAACTTTAAATAAAGAATCTACACTTGATGCTACACCCCAAAAACGTAATCCATATGAGACGACAGACTGAAATAAACCGAAGTAAACTAATCTTAGTGTATCAGCGGTGACAGTGTTTCTTAATACCCTTATGATGAAACAAACAGACGACATTTTTTTACACAAGTTACTAATATGCAAGTGCCAAAGCAATTTAATGTCTACTGTTAAACCTAAGAATTTAGTTTCAGTTTTTTGTACAATTGATTTATTATTTAACTTAATATATACCGTCTCATTGTGACTAAGATTTTGTACTAAAAACTTTATAAAGTATGTCTTATTTCAGTTTAGTTTTAGTGCATTTTCATCTGAACATTGTAAAATTTCATTACCCGCCTTATTTGAATTGGCCCTAAGATTGAGCCCTGCGGCACTCCATATTTTATTTCACTTTGTTTGGATTTCACTTGACCTATGACAACTGTCTGCTTACGTCCTGAAAGATAGGATTGTATCCATCTATAAGCTGTACCTCTAATGCACAAAAGTTGTAGTTTTTGAAGTTATAGTTCGTGGTCAACTGTATCAAAAACACTACTATAATCAAAAAATATTGTACCAACGTCATTTTTCTTATCTAGGTTATCATAAAGGGATTCTAGAAAATCATTTAGTGCTGATATTATTGATTTACTTTTTCTAAATCCATGCTGGGAGTTATTTTGTAAACAATAATGTTCTATGTAGCTACACAACCTTACTGCAAATGAGAGCTCAAAAATTTTTGCAATTTGACTTTGTAATGCTGTAGGCCTGTAAGAAGATGTTTCATCTTTTGGACCTTTATTTTTATAAACTGGAATACACTTTGTATGCTTTAACTCACTGGGGAAAATACCTTCAACAAATGATTCATTTATTAGTGGTAGTGATAGTGGTTCGGCTAGAACTGAACTAACTGATCTTAGAACTCGCCCGTTAATTTCATCTATTCCTGCTGCTGGACTTCGAGTTGTCTTTCTTAATAATGTTTCAATTTCATATCTCGTTGTTGGCTGAAGAAAGAATGATGTTGGATTACGTTTTATTTTTGATGTGTTAAATTCATTATTCCTTGTTATAGTAGTTGTGAAATGTGTAATAAACTCATCAGCTATTTCTTTAGGATCAGTTAACAATCCGTTATGAGTACGTAGATTTAGTACTGATGAGTTTGAATTTTTACCACTTCGCGTTTCATTGATTATCTGCCAGCATTCTCTGGTTACATTATCTGAATTTTGTAAACGTTTATGGTTATAACTTCGTTTAACTTTTGATACTTCCCTTTGAAAAAAAAATTTTTAGTTTTCTATATCTATTATTGTATACAGAGTTGTCAATTTCTCTATTAATGCTGGACATTTCGCATAACAGTGAATGTAGTTAGTTTTTTAATTTCTGGTATGTACCATCGAGTTTTATTACAAGTTATATTTTTCTTTCTTATAGGAAAAGATACGTCAAAATAATATAGGAGGGAGTTATATAAGCTAGTAAATATTTCATTAAAAGGTTCACCACTCTCTATTTTCTTACTTAAGGAGCTGCTCCACATTTCCTGTTGCATATACTATCATAAAATTGCTGCATATTACCCGATTTAAAATTTCTAAATATAATTTTTCTATTTTTATCACAACTGGATCTACATAACTGAGTATTTGTAATTCCAGTCCTATGATCGGAAAGATAACAATCATGTACAGAGGTTTTAACATTGTCTATATTGGTGAAAATATTATCTAGACAGGTTCCACCCTGTGGATTGATTCTAGTTATTTCCTTGATTTTTGGTTTCAAGTCAAATTCTAAAAAGAAATCTAAAAGCGTAGTGGTTTCTTTATTCCGATCACATAAAAAGTCTACATTAAAGTCACCACAGACAATAATTTCGCATTTTTTTATCTGATAATTGCCTGAGTAAATCACGCAGTTTGTTAATGAACAAGTTTAAATTACTATCTGGTGTTCTATACACTACTATTATATAAACATTATAATCGTTATGTTTATTCTGTATATTAGATATGGATAATTCAGTCTTTTTCGACACATGTGTTAAATGGGATTGGAATTAAATTAAAATTAGTTTTTGGATAAATCCAAACTCCTCCTCTACTATACTTTTGTCGACTGAAACCATTTACAATTCTACATATAATTATTAAAAGTACATGACAGCAATTCATCTAACATCAACCAGTGTTCGCTTACACAAAAGACATCGACATTAAATTTATCTAGCATCACTTGTAATTCATTATAGTTATTATTTAAACCCTGCACATTTAAAAGCATTAATGTCATTTAATAGTCATGTGCTACTTGCGATACAGTACCTATCGGAATTAAGAGAATTTTCCGTGCTTGGGTCGAAAATTAGTATATTATTAGCCAAGGTTGCAAGGCCAAGCATTCTAGACCGAGCGCAAATTAGAACCCGAGACGCGCAGCGTCGAGGGCTCTGAAGCGCGAGGTCTAGGAGTGACTTTGCAACCGTGGTTAATATAGGTACTATTTTTTTTCACTAGTAGAAACCATAAGACAATAAATTGAAAAAATAAACGTTCAATTTTTTGTATGTTTTATATCACGTATGGGTCTTCCGCTTGCATTAACTTGTTGAGTAAGTTTGACCCAAGTTTTTCTTAAGAAATTTATTATTGCGGAAATTTTAATTGTTTTCTAACTCGTTCAAATATATTTCATATTGCTGCCTAGTTGTTTTAGCTATTCTAGCTTTTTTGGGTTCTGTTACGGTTTCAGAGCAAAAATCTGAAGCAAAAAATAACATCTATGAATATATAAGTTTGACATTGGCTTATGATTTGTTATGGTTTCCCGTTACTTCGAATTAGTAACGTATGATATTAAAGAATGCGCTTTAGCAGTCACTGTCATTATCGTTACAAAACATTATGTTTGTGAACATTATTATTATTATTATTATTATTATTATCAGTACTAAAAGCCAGTCTACAGGTGGTGGAACCCAATTACAGACTAACCGAATGATATGTAAAGATTATGTATTTACATGTGTTACGAAAAATTGTTGACTATTCAGGCAGCTATTATTACTACCTTATCCTATAGGAAAGTTAAACAATTTTAATTGGCTGATTCTATTATGTTGTATATCAAGTTAGGATAGCTGCTCTTAACACACAATCGTTTACTACGAATATGTCTATGTTGTCATTAACATCATGATAGTTCAGAATCATCTGATATATTGGAGACATTAGCAGTGCATTTGTTCTAGGCGTTGGAATTTCGAACGTGTTCAATTTCCTGCTGTTGAATGATGGGGTTTTGAATAAGATTTTTGACAATGTAATTGTTGTCGTCGAATTACTAACGGAAACGGTTTTAGTACAGGTTTATTTACAATACCAACTACAAAAATGATAACACGGCCCAAGGTTGTATGTGTATGTCCACGTGGAGGTCTTGAAGAGAAGAGGACGTCTGCACACGGTGAGTGGTCGGAGAAGAAGAGGACGTCTGTACACGGTGAGTGGTCGGAGGAGAAGAGGACGTCTACACACGGTGAGTGGTCGGAGAAGAAGAGAGTCTGTTTTACGTTTCCACCGTGGCGTTTCCTCTTTAGGCTTGCGCGTTGTAACTGCCAATCCGGAGGCTGCATTATGTATGTATAACTGGTTGCCTACTTCCAGGCGGCCACAGTAGTCCCCTCCCAGTGACTACG